TCAGACTCTACGGATACAGATTTAATTTATATATATATATACTATCACCTCTTTAGAAATTTGAGGATATTGCTTGGTATTATTTTTTAATAGAAAAACTCTATTAAGCAATAGTCTTAGTGATAAAATCAACAAAATTGTTTCATATAAAGAAGTTATACTCTGAAAGGGTTTATATAAACAAAATTTGTTGGGACACTATAAAAGAAAACTACACTTCCTTAAAGTAAACTTCACTTAAACGTATCAACCATAAAAACCATAAATTTATCTTTTTCATCATAGAATGGAAGGAATATCCTCAAAACCCACTATTATATGTGGTAATGTTCCTAGTACAAAAGCATTTTGGGTTTCACATATGATAACAACAGCATTACTCGTCTTATAACTCATTATGTGATTAACTTGATAAAAACATTACAGAAACAAATTGGTCAGATATAACATGGAATTAGGTTTTTCAATTTATGAACCAAAGATAGAAAAGTTTTGCATTTTGTATTTGATCCAAATATGTTTGTATTTCTGATAAAAGAAATGTCTTACTGTCTTATAATTGGGTTAATTTGATTGAAAAAACAATCTCTACCTCTTCACTGAATTAGGATGTACTAAGAAAACCAAAATAAGTTTCTGCTTTATTCTATCCTTCACTACTCTCATAGCATGTAATTCTAGAATTAGAATTTATCTTACTCTCAACATCCGAACATACTTTAAGACATTAATTGATTCCTTATTTGTCTAAGTGGGAAAACTTTTCCAAACCGAAAAAACTTCCAAACATTATCGTAGCCTTCCTCGGTTATGGTCGGTTTACCAAAATAAAAGTACAAGCCTATTCTTTTGCGTTCAAACTACAAAATTGAACCTTTTTCAAAACTATTATGTCAAATGTTACGAATATTACATTTATCTAGATGTTCGTTACAGTAAACAATATTAAAAAAAATAAAAAATGAAAACTTTTACTTCTCAAATTACAATAATGCATTCATATTTGGAAACACATTCAAAGTAGAAAACAAAACCACAAAGACAAAGGCTTTCAATATATTCTCTTGTTTCTAGATCGGTAATGGGGTATAATCTCATTTACTTGTGAACCCTCGCTTTGGTATAAATTCCCGGTTTAACCAACAACGAATCACTCAATTTTTGTGTGACTCGTCTTATTCCTTTTTATACATGAATAGTGGGTTCCCGAGTTGGTTTAACTTTTCTTTCTCAATTTTCTCAAATTGTTTTTTAAATACTTACAGCTAAATATAATTAACCTGTTTCTTACAAGTTTTTATTTTGTTTACATTCTATTTGCCTCTTCTCATAGAAAAACCTACACGGCAAAGACTCTGAATTCTTCCAAAGATCGTAAAGTGCAAAAGGAAAAAAAAAAATACTGCAGAAAAAAAGACTGAAGAGGATGTAACTAGTTCACTTTATATATATACTAGACGAAAACTATTTGGAATTTAATTTGCATCATCACAGACGTGGGCGAGTGTATTCACTCCGTATTATCCAATTCAATTAATTTCATCTCTAATCTTCCATATACCCAAATACAAATATTGTGTCCTATGACATACTTGGTATTTTATAGTTTTAAAAGAAAGAAAAAGATAATACTTTCTCTCATCTGCAAAAGTTTTTATTATGTTGTGCTCATATATACTCCAGTTTTGGTAAGGGGAAGAGTGAGGGAGTAGTGTAACGACCTTAGAAATCGCTATTAAAATGATGTCTTCGCAAAGTAGTAAACAAGTAAATAACAACATTTATTTTACATTATATTACTGTAATTGTAACATATATTGAAATTCCAGTTCACTAACAGAACTTCAAAATATAGTAACATAATTTATTTATATATTATATATGTAAAAGTAACTCCCTCGAAGCTATCCCACTGAACTATCTCTGTTGTCCAGTAGTCACATCACCATCTCTCAACTCCTGATCTGCTCCCACATAAAAGTGATCATCGCAGTCCCATCCACATGGAAAAATAGGGGTAAGTATTAAATCATTTGATATAATAAAACAGATATAGAAGTAATAATTATATATTATGATCAATTACAAAATTATCAACACACTAAGAAACCTTCCGGAAGTATACCCTAACTATGCCCGAACTCAGAGGCTATCATCTGTGGGCACATTGTGATCGGTACCCGCAGTACCATTCTGACCACCCTCCACACAGAGTAGAATTACTGGCGCCCTTCATCACTCATACTGGAGTACCCCTCCGAGCACGCCACCAGTCATCCCCCATCGACTTCTCACCACCCGATCTCGTAGTCTACCCGACCCGACCAATCGGTGAAGTCCGGGACCTCATTCAGAATCCTCCGACATAGTTATTACACTAATGTACTATGTACCACCCCGGGTACCATTCAAACATACAAAATTTATTCACATTTGCCGGATTCTGGACCACCTGTCCTCACGGCTCATTCGAGTCAATAAAAATAGTATTTGACTGATTCTGGCACCAACCCTCCGACTCAGTCTAGCCAATATATAACGTCTCAGGACTGATTCTGGGCATCAGCCCTCAGGCTCAGTCTGACCCACACACGTCACAATACTCTACTTTCATTCTTTCTCTCTCTTTATATATATATTTTCCTAAAAATCATTTTCGAAACTATTTCCGAACTATTTTCGAAATCATTTTCGAAATCATTACTATTTTGCCCTTAATCTTTTTAAAAAATCCACACCATATCCCTTTCTTTTTCCTTCGTTCGCTCAAGCGAGTACAGCGGTCGCTTGAGCGAGATGGAACCCGAGAATCCCCGTTGTTTGAAGGCTTCGTCGCTCAAGCGAGTACACCGGTCGCTTGAGCGAGACCTGACCCTAGAGTCCCCTTTGTTTGAAGGCTTCGTCGCTCAAGCGAGTACACCGGTCGCTTGAGCGAGACATGACCCGAGGGTCACCTTTGTTTGAATGCTTCGTCGCTCAAGCGAGTACAACGGTCGCTTGAGCGAGTACAACGGTCGCTTGAGCGAGACATGACCCGAGAGTCCCCTTTGTTTGAAGACATTCGTCGCTCAAGCGAGTACACTGGTCGCTTGAGTGATAAAGGACCCGAGAATCCCAAATTTTCCAGGTATTCTCGCTCAAGCGACGTATTTTTCGCTTGAGCGAGTTTTGCAGATTTTCCAATCCGCCATTTTCAAAATCCAAATTTCAAATTTCTCGGTTTCAATCACCCAAATTAGTTCCAAATCGAAATTAAACATGAATTATATCTAATTTAAGTTGAAAACAACAATTTTACCATATAATTCATCCTTAATTTCAAGAATTTCAAACAAAAACTTTCAAACGGTGAACAGTTCATAAAAATCAGAAATTCTTCAAAATCAGACATTCTTCAAAATCATACATTCCAATCATTCCTATCTCTACTCCTATTCCTTATTTACAGAGTACCCAGCAATTCAATTTCATATATTGAATGAATTAAACTTCCCCTTACTTGGTATGGTATTTCTACCGAAGCTTTCCCACCTAATTCAGGTTCTCTCCCGTTTCACCAGATCCTGCACGAGTAGAGTCTCGTTGCTTGAAATTTAGACAATAGAAGAAAAAGGATGAGAGGAAAATTTTTGATTTCCCTCCTCCCCGCTTCAGTATTCATATATAAGAAAATTTCTACTGTGCATACGAAGTTTTCTTGCACAATAATATTAATATAATATTAAAATAATCATACGTCACAAGTAGAAGATTAACAAAAAGTTTTCACGAAATAATTGTTGCTGTCTTATATGTAATATTTATTATTTAATTAAAATTGTAGTTTATTTTAATTAGTTATGTGATAAAATTTCATATTATTAATTGATATAGATATAAATTATAAGAATTAAAGTAACATTACTCTAAAAAATTTGTTCAGAATTACATCAATTAAAAATTAAAATTAAGAATAATTTATATATATTATTATCTCTTAAATTATCAAAACACATTTTAACGATAAAAATTATAATATATTAAAATTTTAAAATAAATAATGAATTGATTTTGATAATATTATTATAATAAATATAAGATTTAAGATATTTTTATTCATAGACAATGTTATTATAATAAACAATGAAGATATTTTTATTCATAATCGAAATACTAGTAAAAATAAAAATAAAAATTAGTTTATAATATTGTTATAGCAAACATCGCGAGACGCTGTTCCTAGACGGATAAAAAAAACTAGTAATGCTGTGATAACCATTAGTTCTTTAAGGGGGCTTGTATTTCAAAACTGTGATAAAATTATATGAACACAGAACATAATGAACTCGTAGTTAATTACAGCTTCAATTATTCATCTTCTAATTTGTGAATGTATCTGTAAACCATAGTTTTGTGATTCTAGAAGGGGAAAAATGAAATAAAGAAATGTTAAAAGTATTTTGCACCGAAATTTTTAGTTTTGTCTTTTCCCGTAAATGGGATTAGAATCCACAACGTGTTTCCTTCCGTAAGGGAAGGCGTTAGCGAAACCCCGTTCACACACAAACACTCCCCACAATGAATCAATGAAAGGCTACGTATGAAAGCGTCGACCATGCATTGAATGCCACCGGCTGCCACGTTGTCCGTACCATCCACTAACCTACAATTGCCGGTGACCTCTTTGTGCACTGTTTTTGGCTTTAACCATGTTACTTACTACTTGTTTCTTTCACTTCCAACTCATTTCCACAATTTCACCTTTCACTTTCTTGCAACCCCAAAGCCGCGCTATTTATCTATCTTTATTTCTTCTCTCTTCCTTCTTCTTTCCTCCACCTAACCAGATCGATCAACCCCTATCCTATATTCATCATATCTCTCTCACAACTCTCGTAGCTGTTTGAATGAAGGAGTTGAATTTGGGCATTTGAGAGATAAATATATCTCTATATAATATATATATATATATATACATATATATATATATATATATGGAGAGTAACATGGAGACGATGACGATGAGGAAGATGATGGGTGTGAAGACGAAGGAGGACTATGCCATAGGGTCTTCGTCCTTTTTCCCTTGTAATTATCCATTCCTTGATTTTTCTGAAGATAAGGGCTCTTTAGGGTTTATGGAGTTGTTGGGTGTGCAAGACTATAGTCCTCTGCTTGATTTGCCTTTAGGGTCCGACATGGCAGTGCCTCAAACATCTGATCTTAAGGAACCACCTCAGACTAAGAAAGAATGCTCCGAGGTAACCAACCAGCAACCTGCGACTCCGAACTCTTCATCCATTTCCTCCGCGTCCAGTGAGGCTCTCAATGATGAACAACAGAATAGAACTGTAGACCAAACACATGATGAACACCGCAAGACAAAAGAACAGTAGGTTTCTTTTCCTAATTTTCTCTCACTTTTTTTTTAAATAACTGTTCACTTCATTTTCTGTAGTTATATGGTATTTAAGCCTGGGATTCATATTTTTATTGTTTCGTGTTTGGTGTGTGAATGGCTCATGGCAAATCGGAGGAACAAAAACCTTGGGGCGGTTGTGTGTAAAATACGCATTTGATAATTGAATTAGGAATAGGAGATGAATAAGACGGGTCATGAGTATTTGGTTTTTTATAATATTTTGTGAATGTTTATTTAGCAGAAATAATGGTACGTTGATTTATTTAATGTTTGGAAGATTCTAATAAGATTTGATGGATTTCTGGGACGGGTTTAGGTTGAAGTCTAAGAAGACAAACCAGAAGAGACAGAGAGAACCGAGAATCGCGTTCATGACGAAAAGCGAGGTGGATCATCTGGAAGATGGGTACAGATGGAGAAAGTACGGTCAAAAAGCTGTGAAAAACAGCCCCTTTCCCAGGTAACATTTTAACCCATTCTGCAATACTCGCTTTGCTTCCTTCCTTCCTTCCTTCACTTTAATTTAATATAAATTTAAACTACCCAAAAATATATGAAACACTGAACATTTGAATAGGAGCTACTACCGTTGCACCAGTGTTTCGTGTAATGTGAAGAAACGCGTGGAGCGATCTTTTACCGACCCAAGCATTGTGGTGACAACCTACGAAGGCCAACACACCCATCCAAGCCCAGTTATAGGTCGCTCCAACAACTTTGGTTCGCTAATGTCTGGATCTGGGGACTACATGTCTCGTTATTATCAGCACCATCAACAACAAATCCACGTCAATGCATTGTCTTCTTCGGGCTTCTTCCCTTCAAAGAATGGCACTTTTCCTCACGAAACTGTGTTGTTGAGTGACAATGGGCGTCTTCAAGATGTTGTTCCTTCACATATGTTCAAAGGAGACTAGATGATAATTTCAGTGCTGTTGCTATGTGATTTCTTATTATTACTTTTTGTAGGAGAATATAGATGAGGACTCCATTGCTGCACTGGGATATATATCTCTTTAAGTTTTAGTTTTCCTTGATGGTTGATGATCAATCATACTTGTAAACCCACTTTATCTTTTTGCACATATATAATATATAGATAGGGCCTTGGCATGAATATTAGTGTAACATGATGGATTTTGATGTGGAGCAGGGATTGCTTTCTCGTTGACGTCTCTTATGATATAGTTTCTTGTTTCCATCCAATATCTTCTATTTAATAGATAGAAAATAAATAAAAGGAAAATTAAGAGTATCCGTTGGTGGATTGGACTGGGGGTGAAAATGATAACAAAACATAATAATAAAGAAAAAGCATATAAATTTCTATCCTCTTTTTAATCGTAAGATTTTGACCCGTCGTTTGTCTTGTGTTTTTGTTTCTTTTTGTTGAGGGAATGTTCGTTCGTATCACTGGCATGACAATATAGGTTGTTAGATTTAGGTTTTCGAAAGGGAACAATTGGGGTGAAAGTTTGCTTGCTTTGTTTGGTCCCTGTAGTACACGGAAAAGGAAATTGTAGGGAAATTTTCTTGTAATTTGAAGGATACAGTAGCGAAAGATCCGACCAATGTGATCATGAGATAATAAATCGCAAGAGTAGTTCAACCATTGACAATTCGATTTAACCTCATTGAGTAAGTGCTGCATGCCATATGATCCATCTACGGATTTGATTCATAGAAGAAGTAAATAAAAGAAAAAGTTAAACAAGATTGCATTTAAAGCGTGATCTGGTTTCTACGATGGAATAGATTTTGACAATGACTAGTTTTAGCTTAATCTGTTAAGGCACCATAATAGCCGGTGTCGTATTCTTTCGTAAGTTTGGTTGTATAGAGCAGGTGAGGCTTTGGTCTTAAAAGAATATTAGGAAGTTAATGTAGGCAAAGACCAACGCGCAGTAAGAGGATGCATATGATACGCCACCTTCGAAGAGCCACTGGGCCCCCGCTATTCCTTCCCCATTATGCGTTCCTCTCTCCATTAAGAGGCCAATACATTGCACCGAATTAGAACTCTTCAATTCAGAAAGAACAGGGAATAATTACCAACCCACATTGAATTTTTCCAATTGAATTGCTCAGCAACATACTGTGCCAAGATGGTCTTTTAATTTACCTATCTTCTATTCCTTTACTCCTAGACAAATAAATGACAGGAAAGCGTTTCCTGCCGACTTCCGAACCAAATCAAATTTTGATAAAAATACAATTTAGAGTGTTATCCATTTGACTAAAATGTCATTATTTCTGGGGTACTCCATGGCAACCTCAACAGTTACCAGGATCCAGGACAGCGATGAAAGGTAACACGAAGTGAATGAGACGGGGATTTGGGTACACCATTTATCACATAGCACTACTGCAGCAGAAAATGCCATCATTTTCATATTCAATTCCAATATAAACAATAACTATTAGTACGCGTTGAAAACTTACACGTACACTGTGTGGGTACCCATTCTTAATTTTGCAATCCATACAGTGGTAGTGGAGCCACATTCTTATCAAGCTCCCTAGGCTTTAATCAATCTCCCGTTCCTCTCACAAGCAATATAAGGATATAGACTCCGAAAATGTGACTCCACAGCATCCCAAAAAACGAACGTTTGACCGGGTATCATAATAAATAAATGAGGCAACAAGAATACGCACAACCTCACAAGAAAACGTTAGGCTAGTTTTGTAGCAATTTGAAGGTCATTATATAATAATTGTGAACAATGTGACTTCAGTTGCCTAAGAAAAATAACATCACACCTATCCAACAACAGGACTTGTTTCTGTCCGTCTGTGGTCATGATTTGTTTCCTGCAAAACTACAGAATGTTAGATTATTTTTCAAACAATTAGGAGTTGAGATACAACTATGTTTGTTAAAGCAGGAAAGAAAGGTTTTTATTTTATTTAATTTTGCTGAACTAGTTATGAGAGAAATATATATGAGAATCCACCTGTTGTTTTTCAGCAACTTGTAGAGAGGAAGATAACAAAAATTGTGAGAGACTACAGCAATTATCCTCCCGCTCCGGCTGCTTCGTAGATTCTTTCTCGTACAAGGCATACTCCTCAGGCTTCTCCCACTGCTCCAAGAGTAACAACCATCACACACCAAAGTAACAGAAATCCAAACAGATTGTATGAACTAGATCAAACAATTGGAACCATTACTCTGCTTTCACAAGTGATACAGTTGTAGTAGTACTTCACACCATCGGGGCAGTAGTGTTCACTCCAGTCACACTCTGGATAATCTTCAACTTGAGGACTTGAAGGCATATCGGGTGGGGTACTGCCAGCAGCTGTGCTAAGGTTGCTTCCGGTCTGAGAAGGCAGCTGGGAGGAACAATAAAGTGAGAAAACTGTTGCATTCTGCCAATAAAGCTGCTTCAACAGTAATTTGTCACATTAAATAAATCCTTTTATACATTTGTTATGTATTCATGGTCAGAGGTGCATATAAAAAACCGTACATAAAAAAATGAATGGCATGTTCAGTATTTTGCCATCACTTATAACAGATAAACAGTGACTCCTAACACCATTCCTCTATTATATAAATAACAACATAAGCCTTATCTCCCTAGATGAGGTTGGTAGCATGGATTGCTCAACATAATTGGTTCAATTACAGACCAAATTTTTAGAGATATTAATCATATGAGATTCCTCTTGAGAAAATTTTCTCTTACGTCCTTAGTTTCCCTCTACACCTTTTTACAAGACTAAAATCATCCTCAATCATAAAAATGCATAATTTAATTAGAAGAAACAAACAAATTTAAGTACGTCAAACAAGAGGACAGAGTGGCACCCAAGAAATTCATGAATTCTCAAAGTTGTTACATTTATAACAGCAAAAGATTGCAAATGTTTCTGCGAGAATTAAAAATATAATTTGAAGATTAAAGGAAGTTATGGTTAAGTACAAACATATACCCAAGAGTACAATAGATAATAATGTCAATTCAACTACACCAATCCACCTCATTCATAACAGAATTTTACTAGCGTCACAACCAAAATTTCCCTAAAAGAGAGAATTTGAATGATCTATTGCAGTATTACCTGTTAGTAACTAACCTGTGAACTATGCTGCTCTATATTTTGAACTGATGAATCTGCTGGATGCGGTTGTCTCTGCACCTCAGTAATAAATTGCTGGGACGGCAATTGTGGAGCTTGAATAGAAGCAAAAGGCATTGAAGCCAACTGTGCATGCAATTGTTGGGGAGGAAATGGATGTTGTACCACAGTAGCACCAGGTTCCCAGTTTTGCATATGAGTAGGAACTTGTGGGTTTGCAATTGTGGAATGATGCGGGGCAATAGGCAAAATACTTCCTCCACGATTGGAATCACTAAAATTTGGTAGTGGCCTGTGAAAAGACAATAATTTGTAATTTATTTAGCATGCCACGTGTTTTGCAATTAACATGGAAGAAGGGGGCATATGAATGGAAACAAACCATACTGCTGGTTCTTGAGAACAAGGTCCAAAATTTGCATTCACGGGTAAATAGTTGCCCCTGAAGAGATATGCACAGGAAGTAGAACATGAATACAATTCCAAAAATTATCCCAGTTTGAACAAGAAAGGGAAATCAATTCATAGTTGAATGATCTAACTTGGGTTGAGTAACAATAGAGTCCATTTTTTTAATGAAAGGACTTTTTTTCATAAATATGACTAATATATTAAAAGCATAACACTTTTATACCACTTAGGGCTTGTTTATTTAAAATTTTAAGCACCCAAAACTCTTGCATTAACCCCAGTTCAAGTGTAGTATGTCTGGCAATGATATCATATAAGCAAAGTGTGTTATAGAATCCAATTGCAAGGAGTATGGGGTTTGAAATTTGAATCACACGTTGGATGCACAATTAGGTAGGAGTGTCCAAAAAGAAACCACTAGACTAGTTACAAACCAGTTTCAATTTGACAAGTTTAGGCGGAACCAGCAAATTCAGATTGTTATTGACTTGTTATAAGATGTGAACCAGTTTACAGTTCACCTTGTTCACTTTACCAATCTAATCTAGCCAGGCTCACAACAAAAGAAAATATGCATCTGTGAACAGTTAGGACAACATATGAACTCAACATTTTATTTTTCATATACTAAGCAAAGACTCTTTGACACTAAGCCAAGAAATAATTTTTGCTGAATGAAAAGTCTCTTCCCTCTAGAAAAAAAGTATAAATCAAAATGAAAGGTTACACCATGTAAACCTACTTGTTAACTTCTGATGCATTATTAGTTTACTAACAAAAAGATTGTAAAAAACATATTTATACAAAAGATAAATGGGTAAGAAAGTACAACCTTGATTCTCCCATCCTAGGTTTCTTAGGATCCGCAAAACGAACAATTAATGGATGATCACAACCCTAGGTGTTTATAAAACAAGACTAATTAGCAATTGAATGTGGACAGAGTAATATACATAAATTAAATGAATAAATAAATTAGCTTTACTCTCATCGTGAAGGTTCTATTCAGTCCTTTGATTGCAGCCAATGCCATTTCTCTATTAGAAAATTTTACAAAAGCATATCCTAGAAAATCGAGAAATGCATCCACATGACAAGTTATGTGAAAATGAAAACCATGAATAATAAATTGATCACATGAATTAAATACAACACTTGGTGTTAAAAGCAACCATAGCTAAAAATACAAATAATCCATTGGGATGGAGCATGGTCCTCTGTATATATGTATGGATATCCAGATATTGAGTAATCTTATGATAGAACTGGTATAGAAATAAGAATAAAAAATATGTATAGCAACAGATAACCTCTGCTCCGAATCAAGAAGGTACACCAAACAAAGATCAAGAAATATACAATGGTATGATCCCCTCCGCATCTTGTTGAGCCACCTGGAACTACACTCCCCCTCCCAATGTCCACTCCAAAATCCAAGGCCTGCTCTTTTATTTCCCTCCTATTATTTATATTTTTTTATTCCTCTCGAGCTAATCTTCTCTAACTAAACAATTCACTCTGGGATATCCTAACAATGAAGATTTTACTTGCAAGTTTTTTCTTCAAGAAGTGTCATTCTTGAAGTAAAACTTGGTTCAGTTAGATTTGACAAAGAGAGGAAGAGTTATCCCTGCCTCTCACTCACTCTCTCTCTCCTAGTTTTATTCTAGGTCTGTCTGTAACTTCTTATAGTAGAAATGTTGGGCAAGAAATAAAAAGATAGAATCAAATACATGTCATTCCTCAAAGCCACATATATTGTATGCAAAGCACTCCATGATAAGAGCAAGAACCAACCCCGTTTCGTCGCCATGAAGATATCTTCTACATGCCCATAAGGGGAAAATATCTGCACAAACAGAAACTCAACATGAATAATAACCTGCAGATTATAAAGGATATTCCACAATGTACAATATCATAGCAAAATGCAGGGTACCATAATGAATAAATAAAAAAGTGTCATACCAACCCAGTTAAACTAAATTAGGCTGCTAGCAGTTGCATACATGTACCTGTTGGTAACTAACATTTTTTGCTAGCTGTTAGCCATATACCAGCATCATGAGAAGTGTGTTTACATGATAACCAATATTTTTTATCTAATATCTAGATCGTTCCAATTTAATAGGAGCCACTAGGCCAACATTCCCATCCTGCCAACCTAGGGTGAGGATAGATACATTTCTTCAAACAGGCTACAATTAGCATATCCTTCAGCGAAATACAAATCATGGATACAATCATTGCCATGAAAAAAATGTTGAAGTAACTCATGTTCAGGCGATGCTAAAATATATATGGATGAATGTGAATAGTGAAACATACTTCTTCAATTTCCTTTTTTGAAGCCTCTTTGTTGAAGCAACTAACAAAAACTTTATCTGCCACCTCTGAAAAAATATAGAAAAACAAAAATACAGCAGGAAGTAATCAGTTGAGCACTAAAGAATAAAATATTATATTAGATAATTATATATTAAAGCAGTAGGCCACAGCTATCCGGGAAAAGGCTGAGATGTTTGCCTTCTAAAGGATCTTTCTTTTCCATATTAGGGCAGAACCCTCGAACCCCTACAAAAGGAAATAAAAAGATTCACATAAATTAAACACAAAAGAGTGTAAATCATTAAACGACTCATTACTTGATGGAGAAAGTAAATCATGTTCTCATCAACCAAACTAACAATATGAACATAATAGAATGAACTCTCAGAAATATTTAATTTAAACTTAAAAATTACATACTAATAAGAAGGGTTTTATCTCAACCATCCAAATTAATTTCTACGTAGTATTTAAACTTCTTGTCTTTAAAGCTGCTAACACCATAAATATGAAGAATGACAACATAGTTGATTCTCTCAAAAAAACAAAGGCCACCAAAGGGTTTTTCTTCTTAAACCTGACGGGAAGACATATTGTACACGGCTCCTAACTTCCTTGAATTTTGTCATTATTTCTCAAAACTTCCCTCTATTTTGAAAAGCTACAAAAACCTCCCCATACGCACATGTCCAGGGAAATTTGTGGGAAAATAAAGAAATTCAAAGAAGGTGAAGTATTGCATAGTATACTTGTAGGTAGGAAAGATATAACAAGATACAAACCTGGAAAATATGAATGTTTAAAAGGATAGAATAAATAGAAAAAAAAAATTCTATCCACTGGTTTGGATGGGCAGAAATAATAAAATATATAAAAAAAGTATTTGTATACAGTAAAAAGATAAGTTTTCTTATATATATACACAATTCATCTCCTAATCTTGGCAAATAGGGAAAGAATCAAGGTAATCAAATTCAATATTTGAAAGTGTTAATAGCCTAGAAATTTTGAGCATAGTGAATGTGTTGAATGAGTAAGTGATAAATAAAGGTGGAATAATCAAATAGGATGAAACTATAAGTGTTCTTTCAAATTCTGTTTCATGTAAAATTTAAACTCGCTTTACTTCTTAATTTTTTTCATGAAAAACTGTGAAAATTAAAAGCATATGAATGATTGAATCCTATTGGTGATATGATATTACATAAACTTATTAAGGTATCATAGGATACATAGTCATTTAAGACTCATTTTGTGATACAAATCATTAGATAGTCAAAATGTGATTTGAACTGTGGATCATAAGATAAGTATAAGTTTTTATTAAATGGTGGAGTCGCATCCATAGAATTCAGTAATTTCTACTTCCTATTTCTCTTCTAACCAAACAAGTTAAAGTTACACAATCCCTCCCATCTCTCTCCATCCTCCTAAATTACCCAATCCAAAACATCATGTGCAAGTTAGAGAGTAAGAATACCTTGTATTCTAGCATTAAAATTTCCCCCTTTCAAACTTCACTCTTTGAAAGGAAGGGGTAGGCATAATCAAGAAAATAATACTCACTTCCTCATCATTTATCAGCAGGCAGCAGCAAATATAGCAGTTAAATGTCACTTTTTTTTGGTCAAAATAATGCCAAGTGCAAAATTTAGTGAGAAAAATTGAGCAGCTTATTTCAATAATTTTATCATGGTTTTAATAATCTTTTCAAGACTGGGAGCTGAAAACTATATCAAAACTTGTATACAGAATCCATAATAACCTGTCAAACCTGTTATAGTTATTAATTTTTCGATTTCAAAAATTTATTAGGGATTTAGTGTATGCAAGCAGCTAAAATCATAATCGGCTAAGATGCGGAACCCCATAGTAATACAGAATTTAATAAATAGGATCAAGCGGATAGAAAAGTTAAAAAAATACATATATATATATTACCAAGACGTTCAAGTTCTCGATCAGCAAATTTGACAACAACAGGATATGATTCCTAGGAAATGCAAATATGTCAAATAATAAAGACGAGTTTAAATTAATTAAATGAATAGCAAAGCAAAGGTTTAAGCCAACCATCATAGCTTGTTCTTACCCCAGCAAATGTATATTGATTGTTTAAAGCCTTAATAGCCCTATCAGCTTCATCAAATGTTGCATATTTTACAAAACAACTTCCTGCGTAAGTTTAAAAAAATACGACTAGCGTTAATACTTGTGAATATAATATGCAACATATTATACATACGAATGCAAGAATAAAATTAATTTCACTACTCCTCACAGTCCTTGGAAGGTCAAATTGCACAGACTGTGGATGATCCAAATAAGTGAAGTAAATAATAGTTACTGCAGATACCTTGCCTTTCACCAGTTCTCTTATCTTTTAAAAGAACTACCTCAACAATAGTTCCATGTTCTTCAAAAACAGGGCGGATCTGATATGAAATTGCATAAAGGAGAAGGTATAGAAGAGTAAGAGCTATAATAAAAACGAACAGAAAAAAAAGTAGGAAGAATACTAAACCAATATAACATCACACATTCTGCTAAAATATGCATGATAAAGATACCAAAAGATGGCTAAATGCAACTCTTTTGATGAGGGAGGTGTAATACAAGGAGAACTGGCTTAAACATCACAGTGAACCATTCTTCACCACCAGTATATCATAGGGCATGCCCTTAAAATACAGGTAGGGACAATATCTATTGACTTCCTAATATCCCATCAAGAATATCGCACTGTTACTTATGTTGGAACAATGATTACAGTAATAGTTAGAGCAAAATTAGTGTAGAGAATAGATTTTGAAATAATCAAAATGAGACTGGGCATGGGATTGGTGACATGGGGAATTAAATGACATTTTTTATAATTTCAAATTAACATTTTGCTTAGAGCATGAAATGGATTACAACTATAACAAACTGAATGAAGTTAAATAAGGCGATAAAATAAAAAGTCAATTATTCGAGGATTCACCATTCTCACAAAATAGAGACAGTGATAAAATGATCATTTCCATTGCTACGTAGAGTAAACTGACTACTGATGCATCATATGCATACTCTTCTATTATATCCAGAATTTCAAACAGCTCGGGTGTGAAAAAGGTAACCATTCACATTTCACGGGAAATAGACTTACCTCAGCTTCCGTAGCAGTTCTCGGAACAGGAGCAACATACACTTTTACGTGACACGCACCGTCCACTCGATCTGCGATAACGAAATCGCATTACTAAGGAAACTAACGCGTGACAAAGTTACACAGAAACGATATTTCGGTTGAAAACCTATGAATTGAGAGAAAATTTGCAGTACCTGGAGAAGTTCCTTGGCTGGAGTGGTGCCAGGAGCGTTTGCGGAGAGGGCGAGGAACGGAATGGTTAAGAGCGTATCCAGAATCGAGGGGTTGGAAGTGGTTGAAGCCGTTGCCATTGTCGTAAGAATGAGGGTTTGGAGGGTCTCCGTTGAAATTGAGCCTCTGCTCTATCTGCTCCTTCGGAATATCCATCTTTGTCAACTCGCGATTCCTCGCATGCACCGCTGACGTGTGCCCTAGAAACGGGTTAACTCGAGTGAAGAAGTAGCAGGCTTGCTTTGGCCTTCTCCTTTGCCTGCTCTTCTTCTGCTCAACGTGATGTGCTTTGCTCTGCTTTCCAAACAATTCTCAGATAATTTAGTGACAGCAGGGTTTAGCGTTTTTTACTAGAGAATTTAAAATTAAATTAAATTAAATTTAGATACAAATAAATAAATTGTCACTAAAATAAATTAAACTCGATTCTGTTTTCTTTCCAATATCTTATCATCGTCTGGAATTAAGAAGCTATGAAAAATAAATAATCAAATAATTAAACTAAACAGAAAATTAAAAATAATGAACTTAAATTATTTTGTAAATAATATAATCATGGTATATAATGTTTTAGTTATATTTTTATGGTTAATTTTATTATCGACGACAATATTTACTTTATTTTCCTTTCTTTGTCATGTTATCTTAATTAAATACTGATTAACAGGAAAAATTTATAGTGATTATAAATATAGGTAATAAAACAGAATAAATGTGTTCATAATCTACTATTTGTCATCAATTTAACACATTATATTGATAATTTTATTATTATTTCACCACCCCAATTTCTGTAATATGTGGGTTCAACGATGTGCCATTAGACGAGTTTAATGTAATAATAGTTGAAAAAATAGCATGTTGACATTACAAGAAAACAAAAACTTAACTAATATTAATAAAAAAAATTGTCGATATCATTAACCAATATTTTTAACATATAAGAGTGTAGAATGCATAACCAATGTACATTCTCTTGCCTAATGATGTGAAGGACACACTTTTGAATATGAGATTTCATAAACATGATAATCTCCTGGAACTTTTGGTATGGGAGGATAGTGTTTTGGATGCTCACACAACACATTTTAACTGTAGATGGTTACTGTCTAATTTACATACGGTTATTGAAGAGTGAATAAAAGTTATCTATGTACAAATTTTACAAATCATTTATTCTTTTCTTTTGTTCATTCGTACTGAAAAATAAAATAAAATTGTATTTATGTTAGGATGACAAAAGAGTTTTGTTTTGTCCCACTTTACCTCTAACTCATTAAAAAATATATTTCACCCTTGAGTTTTAAAAAGTATGCATATTTTTAAAAATCTTTTCAACTTGTAAACAATCTTTCACCGTTGAGTTATTTACCTGAAGTTATGCATGTTGTTCACTCTCTATTTTTTTATTTTATTTTATATACGTCCTTATATTTTACAGGATTTGTGATTGATTTTTTTTTTCTGTATTTTTCAAAAATTATATATATCATTTTGATACTTAAATTTATTTTCATGCAATTTTATCTCTTAAAAATTATTTTTGTGTAACTTAATTCAATCTTCAATTTAGAAACATATCAAATCACTTTCAAGTTACCTTTAATAATAAGTCAATTATTATCCTTCACAATGTTATAAAAAACTAAAAATATCATATGTTTTTCTCCCATATGATTGTATAATGTTCAAAGAAATAAAAGGTTATAGATAATTAAATCAATATATATACATATATATATATATATATATATATATATATATATATATATATAACTACAAAATTAAAGATCAAGCTTGTAAAAAAAGATTAATTTTTTTATTTTTATAAATACATAAAAGAGAACTTTTTATTAAATAATATATATATACAAACACTTTATGCGACTTCCTTTAATTTTCTAACACTGTCACTTGTCATTTTAATACAAAAATATCAATGAAACTATATATATATATATATATATATATATATATATATATATATATATATATATATATATAGTATATTAGAAATTTTAGTATTAGACAAAATACTTGAATGAACTTCAAACAAAAAATATTGTATCATCCTAAACTTAGCTAAGAAAATATTAGGATTTACCTAAATAAGAATACTACAAGCATCTGCATAATTTTATTTTTTAATTTCAAAATAAAATATTAATCACTTTTTATTATTTTTCTTTTACAAACTAACATAAAGTTAAGCATGAATATTTATATATCTTAAATTATTTAAAAGTTTTATAATTATTTGTGATTATCATAGATTTTTATTTATTTTTCCATAGTATTTTGGGTTAATTTTTTAGTTTTTTTTACTATGATAATAATTTTTTAAGAGTTGATTAAAATAAATAAATTTTTATAAAATTACACATTTAAATTAACCGTACTATTAAGTCGTATTTTATAATACGACTTAGTTATTTTTTAAATTTAATATAAATTTATATAGAAGTCACGAATTCAAATTTTATATTATAATAATTATTTTAAAAAAATAATAATATATTTATATTATTAATAATAACAATTTAACTTATATTATTATTAAAATTATTATTTATTTTATGATTTTATATTATATTATTATTAATAAAATAAAAATAGTAGTAAAAATAATATAATTATAATAACTAATATTATTTAAACTTTATAACTAATAATAAAATAAATTAATAATTATATAAAATAAAAATAATATTAAAAATAAAATAATTACATTAATAATTAAAATTATATAAAATAAAAATAATATTAAAAATAAAATAATTACATTAATAATTATAATTATATAAAATAAAAATAATATTAAAAATAAAATAATTACATTAATAATTATAATTCTATTACTTATTTATATATTTGTTATTATTATTATTATTCAATAAAAATATAATTTTATTAATACTTATTCTTTATTAATATTATTTTTTTATTATTATTAAAATAATAATAATAAAAACTTATATTTGTTAATAAAATTATCTTATTATTAATATTATTTTTATTGATAATAATATAATTATTAATAATATTAATAATTTTATTATTAATCATTCATTTTTATATTATTTTATTTTAATAATATTAATACAATAATAATATTCATTCATTAATTAGTTATATTATTTGTATTATAATTCTTATATATATATATATATATATATATTATTTAATAATAATAAAATTTTATTAATAATTATTTATTATTAATATTTTTGTAATTATTATTTATAAGTAATAATAATAATTTATTTAATAATAATATAATTTTATTAATAATCATTCATTATAAAATAATAATAATATTTAAACTTACATATATAATTATATTAATAATTATTACATTATATAATTATAATTATTAATTTATTTTATTATTATTAATAAAATTAAAATAATATTTGTTATTATAATTATATTACTTTTAATAATATTATTTTATTTTATTATTAATAATAATATAAATTAAATTGTTATCATTATTATTTAATTTATTATTAATAATATAAACATATATAACGTTTAAAACAAAAATTAAATCATACGATTTCTTTACGTAACGGGTGATAGGACGACTTACTTAAATTTATAATTTTTTAAAAATTTATCATTTTAGTAAATTTTTAAAATAATTACCCGATTTAGTAAAAAAGGCTACATTTTCCGTGGATGATTATATATTTGTTAAAAAAAATATTTATAATATATTTAGAGAAATGAATTCGGGTCGGGTTTGGGCATGCAACCCTAGGTAGAAAATTGTAGATATGTGGTAATGCTTAGTGATTTGAGGAAAACGTAATCGACATTTTGCAGCTTGGAGGATCGTCTCCTTCATCCCACACCGTAAGTCTTCTTCTCTCCTCAAATCAAATATCTCAACAATTTCAGTTCATCAGATTAACTCCTTAGCTTTTCTCCTTTTTTGCCTTTTATTTCAATGTTGGTTTCTAATCTCCTTCGATGTTACTGTGGTAAACACGTATTTTTTTTTTCCTCAAATTTTCTTGTTCATACTCTTAGATTTAGGGTGTTTTCGAATTAATAGTTCATCGAGGGACTGCAAATACTGGTTTACGCATTTCTTCATGAGAATTTACGTTTGTCGCGGCTTGTTTGTCGAACTCATTCCTTTACCGTAATTCGGCATGATTTGTTCTGCTCTAATAGTTCGTTTTCGTGCTGGCTAATTTATGGATAGAGTTTGTTAAAACGTATCTCTTGCATTATAATCGCACTTAGTTAGAATTGATCCACAACGGTGCATAATTCATTGAAATTTCCGGTAAAATGTATCAATGTTATGAATATCTTTTTCTTTTATTTTTTTTCCTTTCCTCTTTATTTTGGTGGATTTCAGTGTTGCTTCTTCAATTTTGGAAATGCAGGAGTTCAATCAGTTAGTTTATCTATTTTTTAATGGCAAATAGACCGGATCCAGATATTGATGATGACTTTCGTGAGCTTTATAAAGAGTACACTGGCCCCCCGGGGTCCGCTACGACGAACACCCAAGAGAGAACAAAGCCAAATAAGAGGTCTAATGCAGGGTCTGATGAGGACGATGAAGCTCGGGACCCTAATGCTGTTCCGACCGATTTCACCAGCCGAGAAGCTAAGGTTTGGGAGGCTAAGTCAAAGGCTACTGAAAGGAATTGGAAGAAAAGAAAAGAGGAGGAAATGATCTGCAAGCTTTGTGGAGAATCAGGGCATTTCACTCAGGTATGACAGCTTCTCTACATCTCCATTATCATTTTTGCCCTGCCCACCGACCATTTCTATTTATGTAATCATTTACATCTAGTTTACACTTCACAAACCTACCCAGTGCTAACATGGTTACTCTTTAGATATTTATTTATTGTTACAACTCACAAGTCACGACTGAATTCAGTAGAGTGGTGGACGGGGTAATGAGATGTTAGTTGTCCCTATTTTATCTTTTCTTTTTAATATCCTAGATCCACCACCCAGGAAAAAATTGTCTATGATTTTTAGTGGGCACTACTATGTGCATTCACGGTTTCATTTCGTACATGCTAAATCACATGCTGACTCTATTGTTTTGAAGAAAAGGGGAAGTCCCGTCTCTTCTTATTTTGGCATGATTGACTTTATTTATCATTTTGGGGCCTTGTGTTATGGTGAAAGTGATTAGTATACAGGGTTGGTAGTTAATTTTAGAAAACTATTATCGCCATTGTCATTATTTAGTTAAATGATAATGTACTTCACAATGTAGGGATGCCCATCTACCCTTGGAGCAAATCGCAAGTCTCAGGATTTCTTTGAAAGGATACCAGCTAGAGACAAAAATGTACGGGCACTTTTCCCAGAGAAAGTTTTAAGCCAGATAGAAAGGGATATTGGTTGCAAAATTAAGATGGATGAAAAGTTTATAATCGTCAGTGGCAAGGATAGATTAATTTTGGCAAAAGGTGTTGATGCAGTACACAAGATTCGAGAGGAGAGTGATCAAAGGGGATCATCTAGTTCTCAAATGACCCGATCAAGATCACCTGAGAGAAGTCCAATTAATGCCCGGTTTCAACGGCCGGAGCCCCAAAGGCCTCATTCTGGACCACGAAATACATCTCAGTTTCAACAACAAAGGTTTGGTAGGCAGGAGAGGGCCGTTGAAGACAGAATCCGGGAAGATGTTCAAAAGTTTGCTAGAGGTTCTCCACAAGGTAGGGACAGCATAGGATATGTTTACAGCATCCTTAGAAAGCTGGTAATCTCATGTTCGTAGCCTGATAGGATTCTGTATACTACAATTTTGTCTAGTAAAATTTATCCAGGAAGGGCGTGCATTGTATTCATTTTGCTCTTTGTTGTCATTTACTTTTGCAGCAAGAGGTAAGTTCTTAGCCTTCAAGCATTATCTCCATCCTGAAGGGTTTCCTCCATTACGAACATATTTACTGAAAGGATTGGCTCCCATGGTTTCAGTATGCGAATATAAAGATAGTTTTTGAATTAAAGCTATGTTAGCATCTTGAATCAAGTGCAATTTGTTGAATTAAAGCAAATCATCTATGTTGGCATCTTGAGTCAAGTGCTTAACATACTCTTCATTTCATGAAGCTTATGGAAATAGTGGAGCTAGAGGTCGATCAAGCCGGTCAAGATCTCCAAGACATGCCCCTTATGCAGGAAACTCATATAATTCGTTTGATGGTCGTAATCAAAACATGGGTGCTTATAGGAATGATGGGTGGGATTCTCATAGAAGAGAATCTGGTATCCAGCCTGGTCATCAGCTTGATTACAATGCCACCCCACAGACTTTGGAAGAATTAGAGTTGGAGTATAAGAATGAGGCAGCGGAGCTAATGAAAATCCGAGACAGAGAAGAAGATGAAGAAAATTTCAAGCATAGGGAGGTATGATTACCTGATGCGTGTAATTTGGATATCTTTAATCATAATTATAAATCCTTCCTTCTTACACATGCCATCTTACTGGAAAAGCGTAGTATTAAAATATTTTCTGTATACATTGGTTGTGCAAGTGAGGAAAAGTCAAATTGGAAGATATGCTATTTCTTAAGTTCAGTGATTTTAAATTTCACATAATATTATTCTTTTGTTCATTTACTACGACCAATTCATGATTTTTAGTTTTGTGTTAATTGCTGGAAGGCTATTAGAGATTTGAGGGAGAAGTACATGAGCAAAGTTGGCCTGGTAAGGGCCACACATGCAAAACAGTGGGAAAATTTTCTTCAGCATGATGCACAGAGGCGTCAACAGCAGGCAGTTCAACAGATGTCTTCTGGTTATCGGGGTTTTAAACAGCAGAGCTTTCCTGAATATGATGGATCCACTGTCAATCCTCCTCCCTATGCTGGGACGAATTTACCGTTGGATTCAAGGAACAGGTTCTCAGACAACATGGAAACATATCCTACTAGGCCTCATGATAATTTTGGTGAATTTCATAGGCGTGGAGATTTTGCAAAAGCTTACAACAGATATTAAAATTCTCTATATATCAATCAAGTGGTGAGTTATTCTACTTAGTCTGTCAAACCTACCTAAAAGTAGAACTTAATATTTTAGTCTAGATATTTTGGTTCCTCTCAACTGTACAGTAGAACTTCTTATGTCATTTTAGTAAACACTAATTAGATTTGGTCATATGGATCTTGGCTCAGGGTTGGATTGTTATTCTGTTTAATTCTTTTAGTAGTTTACAGTTGTATTAAGAACCTACTGTGATATTGTTGATGTTGTCACAGGAGGGACTAATGTTGTAAAGGCCATAGATTTTAGTTGACAGAGGATGTCATTGCAGTTTGTTATAGTGGATATAGCAGATTTTTTTTTTTTTTTTTTCAGTCATAAGCTTTAATTTTGCTTGAAAAAAATTTCAGGGTCCAGATTGATCGAGTAGGCAGTTTAATGCAGTGGAGGACATAAGGTAGGTAAGTATGTTGATTAATCTTTAGGATTGGGATGAATTTTCATTTCGGTTGACGGATCCAGTTTTCTTTTGAAATATAGTTGCTCAGTCTTGTTTAAGAACTTCGCTGTAAGTTGTGATGCATTATTGGGTTATTATCCTTAACTGGTAACGTTCAACTGCAGCTTTGATTGTGTTACGGGAGATACTTTGAAAGATTGATTGATTTTAGTATAATGAAATTTACATTTTGTTACCACGCATGTGTTTGGTGTACCCTATAGGGTACTTACGGTGTACAGGGATATTGTAGGGGTTTTTGTTCATTCTTGATATAGTTTTCCTAGTATCTTGATTACACACATCATAAAATTTTTACTTACAACGAAATTGTTTTCGATAACAAATGGAATCAAGTCATGAATTTGTAATTACAACATAAAGGGAAGGATTTTCAAACATAAGGGGACAATGGGAACTTGACAATATTTCAAATTCTGTCCGTAAATTATTATTATCGAGTATGCGGTGATTAAGATTTAAGAGTTTGTTTTAGTTCATGTGAAAAAACAAAGAGGTAGATTTAGCCGTGGATGGTTGGGATTTAGTTAAATATTCATGCAATGTTATATTATCCGATGTTTTATTTTGTAATGACGATTTATAAAATGGGGAGGAGTGTTATATGCTTCATTCCTTTCTCTATCTTTTTATTTTTATCGTTTGCTAATATCAGATTCAAAAATTAGTTTTTATTTAAATTTTATTGTGCCTTATATTAGAAAAAAAAAAAGAGAGAGAGAGAGAGAAAATATCTAAACAGGTTTTTATTAAACAAAGAATGAATGACCAAGTCTTAAGGCTTAAATATCAACACTTACAAATTAAATAGTTTATGCATTTAAATATTACAATTGTTTGTTTATAGCCCTTTATTGCATTGTCTGTTATATTCACATTAATGCTGTACAACTTGGGTTCCTATACAAAAACATCAATTAAACAATGAGCAATGATTAATCAGTTTTCTATCTCTTGGCTTCCTGTAAAAGCCAGTTACAAATTTTTATTGGAGCAATTTTAATTGATATAGGAAGTTGTTTAAAAATGGTTATAAATTACTTTGTCAAGAAATTATTATATATGAATAAATGAAATAATGAGTTTAACTAAATAATTATTTTTATATTAAATATTATTATGGGTTATCAATAATTTAATTAATTAAACATTTTCACCAAAAAATATTTAAAATTTGATTAAAAATATTTAATTTTTCTCTAAAACAATTATTTGTTTTTTATAAAATGAATTAAAGAAATTTTAATTGATTTGTATTAATAAATATTACTATTTATCATGAATTGTTTACAGTTTTTGTTAAAGTATTATGAGTTATTTAGTTGGAGTTTTTGCTATTAAAGGAAAAGAGCTATTAAAGTAAATAATGAGTTAAATGGTGAAGAAATAAGGCCGGTTTAAAAAAATTGCTTTTCAATATAGTTTTATGTTTTTGAAAATAAAATTGACATAAATAACATTTTAGTATTACTACCATATTTTTAATTCTTTGCGACAGAGGTGTTTTTGCTTTAATTTTATTAAAACCAAACTCTTTTTTGTTTTGTTTGATAAAAAAATTTTTTTTTCCAAGTGATGGCATTGCGAATGGGAATTAGAAAAATATGTTCGGTATTTTTAAATTATGGAATATAATAAAAATCTCTCAATAGCACGTACTTAAAATGAAAATTTATATTGTTGTAAGGGTTTAAACGTGAAGATCAGGGGATTACAGATAACCAAAGCTAAACAGTATTAATTAATATAAATTAACAATGAATCAATACAAATAAACGCTGTATATAGATTTTTACATAGCAAGAAGTTTATATTACCTTTCAACTAAAAAATGTACAACAAGAAGAAAAATATGCATAAAAATAAGCGAGAATAAGAAAATTTAATTTACCTAAAATTTATCTTTTATTGAGGTAAAAATCAAACTACTTTTAGCTCTCAGCCGTTAAAGAATGTGAGTGGATGGTAGAAAAAAAAAAGGTTAAAAAATTAATTATATTTTGGCTTCAGAAATTTTCTTATCATAAATTCTGGTTGATTTTTTTTTTTTAAATATAAGACCAACGGAGTCCACTTGTAATTTTTGCATTATGTTTTTACTTTTAATTCTATTATTCATATAAAATATTTTTCTTATCAGCCCAAAAATAAACCAAGGAAAGAATATTCAAGTCTCCTATGTTCTTATGTGTGTGCTCCTCAGTCAACGCTGCTCTGCTTCAAATACAAAAGACAACAATCACTTTTTTTTTTTATGTCTTTTGTCTGCTATTGTAGAATGTAACAAAGGTAAAGATAATTTCTTTCCTCCACCGATTTTTTTTTCTCTACTTCTATGATTAAAATAAATCTTATTTTATCTTTATATTTATCTTAATTTTAAAACATTTGAATATGTGATTTTAAAATTTCATTAAAGTATTTTTATTTTTCTTTCTTCTATTATTTTAAGAATTACAAAAAATAATTAAGAATATGCAATTTTTTTTAATTTGTATTAATTTTTTATCATTTATAGTATTTGTGCAACATAATTTTTTGCTCGAAGCATGTCTTAGGAATTGGAAATACAGTTTTGGAAAAAAAAATTAAAAAAATTTCACAAAATTGGTTCTAAAATATATTTTTAGAATTAATTTCTTGGAAATCCTTTATGATCCATGGTTCTAGAATGTATTTTTAGAATATATTTTTAAAAATATATTATGAAATCCACTTTTTTTGAACATTTAAAATAAAGATCATAATATATTTTCAGATTAAATTTTTTGAAAACGTATTTTGAAACACACAGTTTATATTCATTTTTAGATTGGATTTTTTTTTAAATATATTTCCAAAATAGTCAATTTGATAATGCAGTCCGAATTGGTATTCCAAAACTTAAGCTAATTTTTATAAATTTGTTCCAAAAATATGAGTTTTAATATGTAATTTGAGTAAAAAAAATATAATAGATACATAATATTAATAATTAATTAACTTATAGCTAGAAATAATATTGAGGAGTAATGGAGGTGCAGCTGGCGAAGATTGGATTAAGATTTGAAATAAAAATTATTAAAAAGGTATTCTAGTTATTTTATTTGGAACGGGAAGAAATTACGAGAGTATAGGAAGAAAGTGGCCAAGGTAAAATAAGAGTTTGAACAAAAAGGGCCTCGGCCCATATACAAAAAGAATTACACCTACAATGGGCTGTAAGAAGTGGGCCGAGTGATTGTAAGGTAATGAAAACCGTGGGCTGAATTGTAATTACGTTGATTTTCATCTTCCTCACTGGCCATTTTCTTTAGGTCTGGTCGTTTTATAATTGCACACAAAAGCTTTAACCCTAGCAATAGCATCTTGGTTCCACACCAATTTGGACGGATCGAGTTTGGGGGAACTAGGGTTTTGAATTGATGGGTACGGAGAGAAAGAGGAAGGTGAGCTTGTTTGACGTCGTAGACGATTCTGTGGCGAAGATGGCGAAAACTAATGGCGGCGCCGTGGCCAATACTCTCATCAATCGCTGGAACGCAAGGCCTTACTCTCAAAGGTACTTCGAGATTTTGGAGAAGAGAAAAACCCTCCCCGTGTGGCACCAGAAAGAAGAGTTCTTACAAGTTCTAAAAGATAACCAGACTTTGATTCTTGTCGGTGAAACTGGTAGTGGCAAAACCACTCAGGTTTGTTTTGTTCAACTTGTATGTTTTATGTTTTATTTTTTCGTGTTTTTTCTAGATTGGTTATATGTGGTATCATAATGTTTTCTGGTGTGTTTTAGGGCATTTTTTTTTCTAATTACATTTTGCTAAACACATGTTAGGACGATAAATGTGTTACCTAGGTTCTCCTACGTGTGTACGTCGCTAATTATGAAAGTTCTATTTTGTTTTTTTGTGGTCGCAGATTCCTCAGTTTGTATTAGATGCTGTCGAGTTAGAGACACCGGATAAACGTAGGAAGATGATGATTGCGTGCACTCAGCCTCGGAGAGTGGCTGCAATGTCTGTTTCGCGTCGTGTGGCTGAAGAGATGGATGTAACTATTGGCGAAGAGGTTGGTTATAGTATCAGATTTGAAGACTGCAGTAGTGCGAGGACAGTTTTGAAGTATGTTAAGTTTCTTATTGTATTGTTTTAACATGCTCCTGCGATCAATGATCCTAGGTCTGTTTGAAAAAAATATATTAGTCTCTTATATGGTATCCGGTAATTCATTTTTATAGAGAATTTATAGAGGCTAGTTCATTTTTATAGATAAATTGAAATATTCTATAACAAAGTATGTTATTTGGATGAGGAATTTTAAAAGGAATTGAATTTTCGAAATTAATTATAGTAATTTGATTATTTAAAATTAAATTTCACTTTGAAAATTAAGAAATTTAAATTCTTCATGAGCTCTACTTTTACATATTTTTGTCTGGTTATTTTTTGGCTTGACTTTGATCGAAACGTCATCAATTCAAACAAAATTGGGGTGTTGTGACATAGTTCTTTGACTAAACTTGAGGGCATTTCTTTCATATTTAAGTTAATCATGAATATTTTTAAGTCTCGATAGTCTAAGTTATTTTTTTTGTCGATATTATTAACCTTTTTTCTTAGTTGATGTTAGTCAAACACAACTTTTTCAGTTGGCGTCACTAGGATAATTCATAGTTGATTTCAGTTGAGGTTATATTTTGAGGAACATCAATCAGAACACTGGCAATCAAAATGTTGGTTGAAGTTATTCCTTGACCAGTTTTAATTAGGGTTTTCTTGATGAATGCAAGTTAGATAGGAGTTATTTTCGGATGACATTGAAGAGATTATTTATATGCTATTTCTCAGTTGACATTTGTCTGTGGAACTATTTTTTGGTGGATGATTTTTTCTGATGAAGTATGCAGTTGTTTTTTTCTTGTGATTTTTGTAGAGGTTGTTTATCCATCAACAGTAGTGTTATATGGTGGTGATTGACATACTCAATCCAAACAAAAAATTAAAATTCAATAAATTTGAATTATCTTATCTGAATAAAACCTTTTGAAAATTAAACAATTTAAAACGAGAACAATTATAATTTAAAGTATTTGAATTTCTTGGAAATTGTAAAATTCTATGTCCAAACACAAGGGAAGAGTCTATTTGGTTCAACATGGTACACGAGTGATTTTAATTAGATATTACGTTTGAGAGGAGTGGAGAGGAAATGGGAAGGGATGAGAGATTATTCAGTTATTGTTTGTTTCACAATGGAGTAGGGATTATAAAAATGAATTTACTGTCATACCCTTATAATTTTGAAGTTCAAAATATAAATAGGGTTATTTATTCATACACCTGACATGTTTTAAATCCCCTTCGATACCCTCCAAATTCCCCAATTGGGAGAGAGCAAGAATTGGATCAAGAGGGATATTGCTTCCCTTCCTTAGCACCATCCCTCTCCTAAAAGTTGAACTAAATGAAAAAAAAAGTTTAAAGAACCCCTCCCTTCCCCTCCATTTTCCTCCAACCAAAACTATGTGAAAAATATTCTTTAGTTCTTGTTCAGGAGATACCACAAGCATAATTATTTTTATTAATCCTGAGCTTGATATGCCTTGTGTATGTTTTCTTTATCATTCTGCGTTTTTCTGTATTGTTGTTTCATCTAGTCTCACAAGTGGAGGTGCTTTGTCTCACAGGTATCTTACAGATGGTATGCTCTTAAGAGAAGCAATGACAGATCCACTTTTGGAACGGTACAAGGTTATTATTCTTGATGAGGCTCATGAGAGGACTTTGGCCACTGATGTGCTATTTGGCCTTCTGAAAGAAGTGCTTAAAAATAGGCCTGACTTGAAGTTGGTTGTTATGAGTGCTACTCTTGAAGCTGAAAAGTTTCAGGGCTATTTTTTTGGTGCCCCTCTCATGAAAGTTCCTGGAAGGCTACATCCTGTTGAAATTTTCTATACTCAGGAGCCTGAAAGGGATTACTTGGAGGCTGGCATTAGGACAGTGGTACAAATACACATGTGTGAACCACCTGGAGATATACTTGTATTTCTCACTGGAGAGGAAGAGATAGAAGATGCTTGCCGTAAAATAACAAAAGAAATTTCTAATCTGGGAGATCAGGTGGGTCCTGTCAAAGTGGTACCCCTTTATTCTACCCTTCCTCCAGCTATGCAGCAGAAGATTTTTGAGCCACCGCCACCGCCACTGAAGGAGGGTGGACCTCCTGGTAGGAAGATTGTGGTATCAACAAACATAGCGGAAACTTCCTTGACAATTGATGGTATTGTTTATGTCATTGACCCTGGTTTTGCTAAGCAGAAAGTCTATAACCCACGAGTTCGTGTGGAGTCTTTATTAGTATCACCAATATCAAAAGCCAGTGCACATCAGAGATCAGGGCGTGCTGGAAGAACGCAACCTGGGAAATGCTTTAGACTTTACACTGAGAGAAGTTTCAACAATGATCTTCAGCCACAGACCTATCCTGAAATTTTACGATCAAATCTCGCCAATACAGTTCTTACATTGAAGAAACTGGGCATAGATGATTTAGTGCATTTTGATTTCATGGACCCGCCTGCTCCTGAGACCTTAATGCGAGCATTGGAAGTGTTGAATTACTTGGGTGCACTGGATGATGATGGTAACTTAACAAAGCTGGGTGAGATTATGAGTGAATTTCCCTTGGACCCACAGATGTCGAAGATGCTCGTTGTCAGTCCTGAATTCAACTGTTCAAATGAGATTCTGTCAGTTTCTGCCATGCTTTCAGGTATTATTCTTTTATTTCATTAGTCTTTAGTCTGTCCAGTATCCCCCGTAAAGCTAAGGCAATGTAGTTCTGCTGGGATCCATTTTGAAATGGACTCCCTGCTTATGCAAGAGGATAATCTTGTGAATATGATGGGGGATGTTTGACTGCTTGCATGTGTGCATTGTTGCACATGAATGTGGTCATTTGAGTGTGTCCTGTTAGGTTGTCATCAGCAACTGTCTTCTCTGGGTTCCATGCCCCCGGTTGGCATGCACCATAGGATTCTAAGTAAGTGCTGATGCATTAGTTGCAGTTTCTCAGTATTCTCATGAAGCAAATGGTGTGGTCTCGCCTCTATGCATCTGCTGACCTTCCGTGGACCTCCTCTGTGATAATCAATTTCTTTCTTTAGTACCCAATTGCTTTGTCCGGCCTAGGGAGGCACAAAAAGCTGCGGATGAAGCTAAAGCTAGGTTCGGGCACATTGACGGGGATCATCTGACGCTGTTGAATGTCTATCATGCGTACAAGCAAAATAGTAAGCGATTATTTTCTCTAGCTCTTTTTTCTTTTTTAAAAAGAGGTTAAATTATAGATTTTTTGATAATAACTTCAATTGTAAATGTTTTTTCAGATGAGGATCCCTCTTGGTGCTATGATAACTTTGTTAATCATCGGGCATTGAAAGCAGCTGATAATGTTAGACAACAATTAGTGCGAATCATGACCCGGTTTAATCTGAAACAATGCAGCACTGACTTTAATAGCCGCGACTACTATGTCAACATAAGAAAAGCTATGCTAGCTGGGTATTTCATGCAGGTAGCTCATCTGGAGCGTACAGGACACTACTTGACAGTGAAAGACAACCAGGTTAGTTAAGATGAACTGCTTATGTCTTCCTCGTCTATTTCAGTTGTAGTGTCATTTTTTATGGTTTCTAATGTTACTGTGCTATTTGTAGGTGGTGCATTTGCATCCTTCAAATTGCCTGGACCACAAGCCTGAATGGGTAATTTATAATGAATATGTTCTTACCAGTCGGAATTTTATTCGTACTGTTACAGACATTCGAGGGGAATGGTAAGATTCTTTCTTTGTTTATGGATCGTTGATACTTGTACCTTCAAAGATGCAAAATCTTTAATGCTTATTATGTTTTGTGACGATAAGTGAAATTCTGATGAAAATGGGAACTTGACGATGAAAACATTTGATTACAGTGCTCAGACAGATTCAATTTGTGACTGAATTACATCCTTAGAATTTAGAGGGAGAAGAGTGGGGAGGCAGTTGGATTGTATAAAATAGATAGTGATGTTTTTTTTTCCATCTAGTCCTGACATGCAATTCTCATATATACAGGTTGGTTGATATAGCTCCACATTACTATGATTTGTCTAACTTCCCCCAATGTGAGGCAAAGCGTGTTCTTGAGAAACTTTACAAGAAGCGAGAAAAGGAGAAGGATGAAATGAGGAGCCGCAGATAAAGTCGCAGCCTCCGCACTATTTTTGCCTTTGAATATTTCCTGTTCTGCCGCTGAGACTGAGATCAGATTCCCCGTAGCTCTTGCCTTTTATCCTTCTTTATCATTACATCTGGAAGGAGTACTGGTTGTCGGTAGTTTAGCTATAAATGAGCTAAGTTTCTTGTACCATTGTTAGTTCAATAGTGAACATTTTTTAATCACCGTCCGGCTTATGTTGTATCTTAAGTCCAAATGTGTTTCTGGATTTTAGTCTCGTTAAAGGATAGATACCATTATAAATGCCTGGATTTGACTGATATTATGATATATTACTAAGCCGGGAGTGTTTATTGTCACTCCTATTTATCGTTTCCTTTACATTTATTATTCTCACTCCTACTTTTTATACTTGCTCTTGGAAATGTACCCAGTTTCCAACTATAGCGTAGTGTTACTTATATCATCTATAATTCAATTTTAATAAGTAATCATCCAGGTTTTAAGTTTTTACCTGGGAAGTTGTATTTATATTTATTATTTTTGTCAAACTAGACTGGAATATTTCACAGAAACTCACTCTCCATTACTGTATAACAAAATTGAGGGTTTGCAGTGAATGTATGTGTTTATATTATTTCTATGATGAACGATATATAATTTTAATATTTTTTAATAAATATATTAATATAATCTTTAAAATTTTTATTTTATTTTAAAATGTATTTAAGGATTTACTTTATTTAAAATGTTGTATATAATATTGATTAAATTATTTATTATTCAAAATAAATTCCTGAATATATTTTAAATTATTTCAAAGTATAATTTAAAAATAATTAATTTTTTTAGGTTATTTTTGAGAAAAGGAAAGAAATAAAAGAGTAAAGAAGTATAAATGAGATAATAATAATAATAATAATGATGGAAGAGAAATAAAAAAGAAATCTTGTGTGAAACAAGAAATTTAATGAATTCTCAATTTTAATTTAATGGGATGTGTCGAGTGATTGTATTTATTAGGAATTACAGGGATCATGTCAAGTGAGTATCTTGTTTAAATTACTCGGATGCGAAGTTAGAAAAAAATATTTACAATAGACCTACCACAACGGCTTTTAGTGTATGGGCGTGGCCCGGTTCGAAGGAACACGAAAGACCAAAAGCCCAAAGGGAAACTCAGTTGGGCTAATAACAATAAGGGTCTCTACTACTCTTTCCTGTGAATGTTTTTCATTCTGCATTTATGGCAATGGCAGCTTCAACTCTAACCCCGATTTGTTCAATAAAAACCTTGAATCCTCAAAACCATGGCCTTCAAATAAAATTCTCAGTTTCCACTTTCACCCCTCCCAACCAGAACAGAAGAAGGAGCCTTCAAATCCGATTATCATCTTCCGCAAATCAAAATCAGAATCAGTCTTCTCCCGGATTGTACTCCGCAAAGAAATTCGAGCTCACCGCATCCAACGTCGACCTCGTTCTCGAAGATGTTCGCCCTTACCTCATCTCGGACGGTGGCAACGTCGACGTGGTCTCCGTGGAAGACGGCGTCGTATATCTCCGTCTACAAGGAGCGTGCGAGAGTTGCCCCAGCTCCACCACAACCATGACGATGGGTATCGAGCGCGTTCTGAAGGAGAAATTCGGAGACGCCGTCAAGGACATTCGCCAAGTATACGATAACCAACCCAAGGAGACAACCGTTGAGGTCTGTTATAGTTATTTACTATAATGAAATGAACTTTGAAATCTGATTTTCAAAAAGTTAATACGAGAGTTACTACAAATTTAACTTATACAGGTGAATTAAATTTAGTTTACGAGTTTATTCCACGTAGTGATTATCAGAAATTTATTTAAACACATCCTTAGTCTTGCACTTTTGATATCTGAAACCATGGGTACTCCTAAAATTATACCGTGTCCGTGGTACTTGTGGGTATAGTACACGTATTAGAAATATTTAAACAAAAATAATGGTATTGCACTGGTATCCAAGTCAAATAAATAGAAATTTTAAAGTAGTGAAGAAGACTCTTGCTAATTTGATTCCTGATGTAAGATAGATAGAACGTGAAATCAAAGAAGTGGCGGATCATGTATGGAGTGATAATTCTTAAGCTTCAATCAATTGAGTTGAAACAATTTTCACAACAATCACCATCTTGTTGTGAGGGGAACTAAATATTTGTCAGTGAAACTGCGTTAATTGGGTTACCAACATTGCAAATTTGTGAATTTGGTCTCTCTAGATTTCAGTTATACCAATTGGGTCTTGGACAATTTTAGTCCTTCCTGGAAATGGAAGTATTCACATGGCATCGAGTAAAATTACACAATTATAATACATCACACTCAGTTGGTTGGTGCAGTTGAAACTTAGGAATTAACATAACACCTTGTATGAGACCGAATTGACATTATTGAATTTGGAGGACTAAATCACTCAATTGCAATAATGAAGAACCAAAATGTAACTAAGCCATGAAATTGATGAAATGAGTTTGATAGTTGTTGCCTATGTGGTTTGCATTGTTTTGGAATAGGCTGTGAATAATCATCTTGATATATTGAGAGCGGCCATAAAGAATTACGGAGGCAGCGTACAAGTTTTATCCGTTGAAAGTGGGGAGTGCCACGTGAAGTATGTTGGACCTGACTCCATTGGATCCGGAATCAAAGCAGCCATCAAGGAGAGGTTTCCAGACATTCTCAATGTTACCTTCTCTACCTAGCTACCAACCTCATTACCTTCTCTACAACTATGCCTTAATTTGTCCTTCACTTATACCATCATCCTCATAAAATCTACAGTTACCAATAGTGGAGGGGACATAGCAGTTCTTTTTCTTGATTGTATCTCAAGTTTAGAGGGGAAACTTACTCTGCTGGTAAATGTACTAGACTTGTTATGTATGCTATCGTCTCTTGTTATTTTTTTTTTTTTTAAATCTCTTATTAAATTACAAAAAAAGGGGTTCGATTTTAGTTCAAAATATATTGAATCAATCAAACATGACACTTTTCTATTCTTCTTTCTCACTCCAGTATTAAGAAGCACCGCACCCACTTTTCCAAAAATCACTATAGGGTTTTGATGTTCAGTATGTTACCATGATTGTTTTAATATTAAACAAGTAAATATTCGTTATAAAACAATTGTCTCCCCTTTCCTTATCTCACTCCCTGACATATTCCAGCACTAATGATTTTACTAATTTCCTGGATGTGCCAACCCAACTTGCATTACAAATTTTCAATCTTTGGTTTTTGTTAAGATTAAAGATTCGTAAAGCGATTATTTTAAATGCAATTTCTTTTGGTAGTGTTACATTTTAAGTTAAGATTGCGTGAGAATATGGCTCATGACTACACACCTGGGGATTAACCCGCTAACAGGATTGCGAGAAATACCTACAGATTAAGTCTATTCATATTTTGGCAGCTTCTAAAAGAGTTGTTGCGGAGAAAAGGTATCGAGCATATTTAAAACTAAGAATATCATTCTAAAAATGGGAAGGAGAAAAGTTCATCAATTAGCAAATCCTGTGTTATTCTACGAATTTTCTAAGACAACAAAATTGAATAAAATTATCTTCAATTGGTTTGAATATCATAAAACATTTTTTTTCCACTGGCTGTGCATGCGTGCAAAAGATTAGAAACATCTCTGAAGCGATACCAATTTCAACATTCAGACAGCCTTCAGAGACATCCTATCCGGAATTCCCATTTCTAAACTTATATACACATGCATATCCAAATAAATGCCATTTTTGTATCTGGTATCCCTACAAAGCATTAACAGCATGAGAAATAATTTCTAGCTTCTTCAGGAAATGCTAAAGATGGGAGATCTCACGCATCCCAGGGATCTCAATTTTCTCTTTACATTGAAGATCAAGAGTGGCATTAGTCTAAAATTTCAGACAGAAGGAAAGAGAACTTCACTTGAACTAGATATACCACAACCAGAATTTCCAGGAGTTGAGTTCACAGCCAGTTTCAACATTCATAATTTTGATTGGAAGAATTTTTGAAATTTAGACACCCATCCCGGTTGCCACCTGGCAGATATCATGCAAAACATTATTCATTATATACAATGCATCAAGAAACTTTGTTGTGCTAGTTAACTATAAAAGAGAAAATTGAAGAAACAAGTAATCAAAATATTATATTACAGAAGCACATAGATGGTTAAGATGAATAGTAAATTATAAGAGAATGATAACAAACTACTAGTGTGTATCATCTGTGAAAAAATTAAGCTCTCACCAGAGGAACTAAAGATCTGAGGCCTTTAGTTTTCTAGGTCTTTTATGAGCCGATGGAGCTCCAGGTGCCTGCAAAAATTATAATTTTCAAGATCAATAATGCAGCATTAGGAAAGTATGTGGTAATCAAGCACTGAAGATGAAAATAATTAGACAAACTTCGTAGGGTACCTTGCGCTTTTGGTCCTTTTTGCCAATCCTTTCCACTGAAGCCACAGTTATAGGCACAGTTTTAATAATGAATAAACGAAAATCCCATCAATTACAGTAACTTAGGTAGCAGGTGCAAACAAAATCTATTACCTCCGAAATTCACTGCATCTGGAACGAATGTCCTATCCTGATCCCCAGCACGATGTAAATGCTATAAGTAGTTTCCAAATCACAGATTCATGGTTAGGGTAACAGAATGGAATGCGATGACAGGCCCAAAAGAATGAAAGCAATATAGGGGAAAATAGCAAAATAAAAAACAAGATTTCTAACCTTAGGTGTGCCAGGTGTTTCACTATATGATCCATCACGAAAAGAAGAACCTTCAGCCTCTTTATATTGAACCTGAAACAAATATTTTAACAACTAATTAGATTAAACAAATTGGCGGAAAACAAGCCAATATTGATGTTGCTACTCCTAATAAAGAAAAAACAAAGCATACAACCATATGGACATTCTAACTAGTAAAAACCTCAATCAAAGTAGCAAATATACCTGTTTCTGGAGGTTAAGCCAAGTTAGTATTTCTTTTCTTAATTCAAGATGCTCTGCACAAACAGCTTTGGTTGGAACCCTTGGTTTCAAATTGACCTGCAATCACAGTAGAACTAATTAAAAAGGAAGAGTACATGTGTGTTTGCTGTGCACAGCTCACTGCAAATATTTAAGAAATTTAGTTAATTTGGTTAATCATATTAAATTTTTCAAAAATTAGCATTATTTATCCAGAATTATCCTTAAAATCATTGGAATCACATTCTCTTAATCTCTTTCTACGCAATTAAACCAAGTAAATGAAAGAGGCAGCTCTGACCAGTGATTTCCCCATTCGTGGTGAGTCCAAGAAGTTAATTTACTGCATTTATTATTTATTGACTAGAGAACACTGTTGTGTAATTAAGGACAATTTTTGACGAAAAAGAAAGTTAGCCCAGTAAAATAGTTTGAAAGGGGTCTTTAGCATCCTAAAAGATTCCTATAGAAAAATAAAGGGATTAGTTAGGACAACTTCAAAGAGAGTTAGTTCTTAGCATGAATTACTTAAGAATAAAATTATGCACCCCATATATAGATAGGGGTGTTGGGTTGTAACCTGTGAGTCAACCCAACTTACCGCGTGTTCGAATCAGGTTGGGTTTGATTTTTTTATTATTATTATTTCTGCTGATAATGGGTTGACCTGCAATTGATGTTATCCTGTTTCTCTACCTCTACTCCACGCCCCCGCTATAACTCAAACTCTCACTCAAGCTTGTCATTAGTAGTCCGCCGCACCATTGCACCTGGGCCACTTACCATCCATCCTCCGCACTATTGTACCACCATGTTTATTGCACCACAAGGTTTCCCGCATTTCAGTCGCATCACAAGTTTGTCGTGCCATAACGTTTGTCATGTTTTAGTCGCAACACAACATTTGTCTTATCACCGCGTTTCAGTCCCGCAATTCAATCATACTTATTAAAAAAAATAAAAAAATTGAAGAACAAAAATATAAACATGGGTTAATGAGCACCTCACCAACCCATAGTGGGTTCAGCCAGATGGTGAAATTTTTGGCTCATCATAAAGTAAGCCGGGTTAAAATAGCTTATTTTCAGCTCAGCCCGTAGTAAGCCAGCCCGTGTGAGCCAGGTTGACCTCTTACCTATAAATGAATTTTTTAAAACTTGTTCAGAGTTGCTTATATAAACAATTTTCTTTCAATTTTGAGCAACTTTTTCTAATTTTAAGTAACTCAAATTGAGACCTATAATACAATATTCATTTTTATTCTTAAGCAACTCATGTGAGTAACTCCCTTCAGAGATGTTATTAGTGCCCTAAAGATGCTTTTTAAGGAATAAAAAAGTGGAAAGTATTCAATGAAAAGTACAACAATTAATACATTGGAAACTTAAAAGGTTTTATTTTTCATTTAACAATTTTCAATTTTTTTAATCCAGAAGAAGTGTCTCACTCATTAACATTTGCATATAAGTGAATACTATAGGAATACCATGGACAAACAAATGAAATATCTCAACTGTATCAAAAGTTCAAGGGAGTAAAGACAAACCCCAAGATCTTGCAAGGTTTGCTCAACCCGTTTGATAGTCCGAAGTCCAGCAGATGCATTTGCAGCTTGCACCATTTGCTCAAGTGCATATGTCCTCAAATATACACGAAGCTGAAATATTTATCATTATCAGACTATGTTTAGATGTATAGGCATCAAAAATCTGTGAAAATGGCCTCTAAAAGTATAGTTATTTGAAATATAGTGATCAATGAAAGATCAATTTTATGAATTACTGTATCTATGCGTTAACATTCACAATGGGCATGGAGCTTGCACCATTTGCTCAAGTGCATATGTTCTCAAATATACACGAAGCTGAAATATTTATCATTATCAGACTATCTTTAGATGTATAGGCATAAAAAATCTGTGAAAATGGCCTCTAAAAGTATAGTTATTTGAAATATAGTGATCAATGCAAGATCAATTTTTTGAATTACTGTATCTATGCGTTAACATTCACAATGGGCATGGCAGAGAATGAGCTTTGGGAATCGAGGAGGTGTTTAGAACAGAAATGTCAACGAAGAAAAGGCACAGCCTGCATCACTAGGATAACTTACCATACGAAGAGAAGCTAAAGTAGATGCATTATCTGTTAACGTGGGAGGCACAACCATTGATGGAAGTTGCACAGTCGATGGAGAGACAGTTTCACCAGGGACAGCCCTTTCTGTAACTTCTGCACCAGCATTCGAAGCAGCCAACTGAGACTCTTCAGCAACCTAAAACAAAAAACCAAAGTCGTGTTTTCTGAATACACACAAAACTCCAAACATGGCCTCAGGTCTTCTAGAGTATTTTTCATATTTTAAACAAAGAGTGAAGTCTATTCTACAAACATTAATGATGGTGTGGGTACATGCTTAATATCGACGAAGGCATCATTCAAAACATGGTTTAATATAGGACAATGTGGGTAATGGTGTTTTTGTCCGATTTCATTAATAGCAGCAACAAAAAAATCCTGATGACCTGCATAAACAATTTGATCAGGAACCAAAAGAAAGCCCTTATGAATGAACTGGGTCACAACTAGAGGTGGAGCTTGGTGCACAATTGATACTCTCTGCTGGAGGTAGCAATTAGATTGATCCATATAACGGGAACAGCATGATATCACAATGACAGGCACACACATGTGCTTGTGCATCTTAAAGTGAAAACGTTATGTAAATTCCATGAATATTGCTGTCCCAAATTGATAATTGTGACTGGGAACAGGCAATTCAAGAGGTACATAACTGTCGGTAAAATTGAAAACTAATGAAGTAATGAGTACACAGCTCTAGTTACCTCCTAGCACAAATGGAATGCAAACATAATACATAAGAACCATACAAGCAATCAAGAAATCAGAGTTAGATCATCTGAAATTGATTCTTGGTAACAATTCCTCCCCTCCACAAGTAATTAATGGCATTATAGAAAACAATCCCTAAAAAATTTACCTTGGGGGGAATGCGTGATTCAGCTATTCTTTTTGCTTCAACAAGAACCTGCATAAAATAACATGAAGGTAAAGATTGCAGAAACTACTATCTTAATCTAGAAAAAAAGGTCAAGACCTCTTCATCTCTTCGTTCTTGTTGCCTTGTTTGAGAGAGGACCATGGACAGTGCTCGCTTTCGTTCCATTTCTTGTGAAACATTATATGGTTCCTACAATGGGGGAAGGACAAGTTACTACTATGATCAGATGCAATGTCCTAAGGCAGATTCAAGTTTATAAACTGCACCTTAACAAGAGGATGTGCTGCAACATCCCCAGAAGATGGAGCTCTGGCAACTAATATAGCCCGTGAAACTACATGACAATGCATGAGATAAAAAATCATGTCAAACATGTTCCCCTAAAATCAAAATAAAGTATAATAAAAGGAAACATGCAACATTTAACAATTTGTTGAACAAATACATACCACTATAATATCTATCCTTTAATTCCTCTACAGTCCGAGGTGATGGAAACCTATCAGCTATTACAACAAATCGGAGATCAAATCTCTCGCACAAGTCAAATAGTTGATCTGTCTCCTCTTTGGTCCACATCTATGTATATAAAGCACAATGGAATAGAGCAATGCACTTAAACACATGATAAAGATTGATCTAAAAATAAAATACTAATAGAATATCACATGTATCTCCTTTCAATCATGAAGCATGCAAAATTACACATTTGAAGTAAAGGGTAACAATAATTCAAATCCTGGCTCTACTCTTACTACCATTATCCAATTCAAAGGATTTAAAAAATGCCCAACGTTTTACTATGATCATTCTACAAAAAACCACTAACTCCATCACAAAAAAATTAGTTATCCTATCTTTCTGGGAGGGAATAAATTTTCCTAAAACCCCATACATTAATTTACACAAAAGCTCAGGCAAGAACAACCTTGAAACGGATTTTGTCACATCAAACCAAAAGGTATTTCTCACAAGAAACACCCTCAGCAAAAGTAAATGAGAAATTTGGCCAAGACTCAGTTGCCAAAACCAAATGAAGTACTGTTATTATAGTTCTGAATTCTGATGATTTAGTTTCTAGAATCTTACTGTTGGTATTTATACTTTTTATAGAATCATATATCTTTATACTTTTAAATGGTAGTAGGTGTCAATGGTGCAAAGAAAAGTGATACCAATAAGGATAATAATATTAACAATAACAACACATATGAAGATAATAACAATATTGATAGTACTAATAAGGAAAATTCTAAATTGACAAATTCTTTTATTGAAGATCCACATGATAACTCTCTTTTGTTGTGAGTGTAGTGACTAATTAAGAAGGATGATTATCAAATACAATTAAAGACAATTTAAAAATGCATATTAATCCAACTTCACACTAAACTTGAGGTTCCTGGATTTGAAATGGAAACTAGGGAACAGGGATGTATAGTTGCATAATTGAATAAATAGAAATAAGAGAACTATGACCTCCCCCAACAGAGTAAGTGTTTCACTAGAAAACCATCCCTGCCCAAGCTAGAATCCCCATGTTATAACAGAAAAAGGAATCCATGAATACAAGCAGCTCACTCCTCCCCTACCTTCCATTATTGGTGGATCCCACAATCCAAAACAGAAAACATAACAAACCAGACCACATGTATGGTATTTTTGTCTTTCTTTCATGTTTCTCCTACCATAAATCCTCCATGTCCTAGGCACACTTGCTTGTCTCACCATTAAAAGTTGTATACCGCAGAAAAATATTTTGTTAAATTTGTTGAAAGTCCCACATCGCCTACCTCATATCATTTGGTATGGTTTAAATACATGTTAGGCTACTCCACATATTGCCAATTGGTTTTATGTTGGAACCTTAACATGGTATCAGAGCCAAAGCCTAACATCTTTCCGGTTATTGTCATGGGCCAAAAGTTGTCCTTTAGTTGGGTCAAAAGTACCCTTTGCCTGGTCCGGCAGGCTTCGTTGGAGGGGGTGTGTTGAAAGTCCCACATCGCCTACCTCATATCATTTGGTATGGTTTAAATACATGTTAGGCTACTCCACATATTGCCAATTGGTTTTATGTTGGAACCTTAACAAAATTAATGACTGAAGAAACTACACAGCAATAACACCATCTCTTGCAGGGGAAAAAAAAAAAAAAAGACATTCAATACTATGATTTACAAATACCAACATAAGTAACAAGAAATTTAACACTTGATGGTGTTAACAAAGGTAGTTGAATTGGATTGGGATACAAAGTCAAAGTCTATTTTTCAAGCCAGAAATCAAATCGTATTGAGAATCATAAGATTCATGATCAATAATAAAACAGTTAGTTATATTATGTATATATAAAGAAACAAATGAGAGATAAAAATAAATATCATAACTCTAGCCTATCTACTGAGCTTTTCAGTTTAAAATCCCAGCCCAACTAATTATATAGAATAGTGGAGTAGTAATTTGACTTTTGAGAGAAGACTTTGAGTGATATTGAAAGGTTTTATAACATTGAAATAAAAGGCTAATATTGGACTCATTTTAAAAGTAGGATAGCCCAAGTAAGTCGGCAAAATGTTACAAACAAAATAGAATAAAAATACATAAAGAGACAGCACACATACTCTTAAGTGTTATATTTAAATAGTCCCGAGAGGGCTTTTTACTACAGCACTGAGATTTTAAGTGCTAGGAAATTTCAAACATCTCCAGGTATGACCCACTTTACATGGAGACCAGTAGACCCAAACTCACCTTCCCTACCATTTTTTTCCTTCAGATTTGAACCCTAAACACCCACCTCACCCACCCTGCCTCTGCAACCCACTAAAACCCCATTACCTCCACAAATCACTGAAATTCATCACCTCTGCCTACTATACAAAACCCATGAAGCATGGTGACCAAGAGGAGCAAGGTGACCATGATGGTGGTTCTTGCATCTTCCACAACACCCAATGGCATCAAAATCATGTAAATCACTCGGAGTCATGATTCATGCAGTAATTAGGAAATTCATGTGATACACTATGGGATTCAGATGCAAAAACAACAAACTAAACAATTTGCACCACCATACTTCCGCATCAGATTAAAGTGGTAGTATTGCATCATGTATTGTGCGATACTAACTATCATGGTGTAACATCATGTATACTAACCCACAATCACAACTTGATAAAGAGATTAAAATACAGATAGGGGGACAACATTATAGGTTGATCAAATCATTCATAAGCTTCAATTAAAATATATAGTTAGACATGATACCCACAGGATTTGTCAAATACTTGTCATACTCCTCATCTGTGTATTTGATCACATCAACAGTCTGTACCACAGCATGTAAACTAACATTCAATCATACAAAAAAAAAAGTGTTGATAAAAAATATTCAATAATAAAACAATGCAAACCATGCATAAAGACAGTACACTCGCATTTACCTTGTTATACTTGGCAAAAGAATAATCCCCCGTAGGAGGAACACCATTGACAACTCGTACCTGATTTATGGGAGACAAATAGCAATTACTCACATGCTCATAATCACAAATAGGGTTAAGTTTTTCATTTGGCCCTTGTACTTGTCTCAATTTTATGTTTTTGTCCCTATACAAGAAAACTACAAGTTTAGTTCCTAGACAAATTTGTGTAGCAATTTATCACCACCAAATAGTTTTTGTAGTGGTATTATACCACCAATGTTAACTCCAGAGAACAAAGCTCAATTTTTATGCATGTGTTGGAACTAAAACTTACCATTCGGGAACTAAAACATAAAATGGGAACAACTGTAGGGAAAAAAATTAATATTTTGACCCACATAATATATAAAATCATACTGAGACTGTTACTGACCCAGTGATAAAGTTGAAGATTATCTTTACGAGCAGAACTGGTGAAAGGAAGCCACTGCCAAGTAATCTGAAGAAGCAAGAAAAAAAGTGAAAGTACTCAATAAGATAATTCACCAAACTAATTGAGCATTGCGAAAAAGTAAAAACTAAAAAAAAAAAAAACAAACCTTTTCAAGAGGAAGAGGTTTTTTCTTCAATTGAGAAGCTTCAATTGCAGGCATAAGAGGGGCCAATCCACCTGTAAGCGCATACACCTACAAATACAATCCAATTGCATTGAATTCAGCTGCCATAAACAAAATCTTGAATATAATATTGCTAGGGTAGAAATTGATAGAGAGGTACCTCGCGTGAAATGCCATCTGGTTTTCGTTGAGACTCTTTGGGAGGTCGAGACTTCTTCTCCAGAGGAGGGAATGTGTTTTTGGACAATCCCAGGATATCTTTGGCATCCATGATTGACAATCATACACAGTTAAGGACTAGTTAGGGTTCAGGATCAAGTTAGGAGTTTTGGGAAATCAAACATTAGTTTTTCCTGTTTCAGTTTTCAGTTTTCCCTCTCGCCTTCTTCACTGTGGATATTATATTATTGCGACGTCGTATCAGATTCCTCTCAAAGCTCCATTTCCCCTTTTTCTCTATGAATAGTATTGACATTTTTCTAATTATGTTATGGTATATTTGATTAAGGAAAATATAAATATATATATATAAACATTTTTTATATATATTTATTCAGAAAAATAATTAAATTATTAATTAAAATTGTGTATATAATAAAGATAATATATATATATATATATATATATATATATATATATATATATATATACTCATTTGAAATAGGTGTTTTTTTTCTTAAGCGCACCTCTTTTATGTAGTAGACAAATTTATCATGAAAAACAACATAATATTACCAATTAATAATAATCATTTATAAAAATTATATGATTTTTTTTTTGTAAAAACAGGAAAAAAATATAAAACCTCTATTTATCTATTATATAAGGTTGTAAAAATATTCAATTTTTTTTGTGCGTATACATGCAACATATATCATTTTTATTAATTAAATATTATTTGTTACACTAATTTATGTTTTTATTAAAAAATGTGTATTTCTATTTAAAATTTAAAGTTTTTTCTTATTTAATATTTAAAAACTAAATCTCTTTTTAGCTAGTTTTTTAATTAATTATTAAAAAATTGAATTTATATATATATATATATATATATATATATATATATATATATATATATATATAAGTCTATATATGGCTTTAATTGGTTATCTTTTTTCCCTATTTTTTTCTCATGAAACTTATTTAGACATTTAATTTTTTATTAAAAAAAACTGATAAATATACATAACCTTTCAAAAACTAAAAATAATTATTTGTTTTATAACTAAAAACATTATAAGTGTTATTTAGATGAGTGTAAGTAATTAATAAATTTTGATTTTTTTTTATTTCTCAACTAGTGTGAAACTTATGTAATCTGGGTTCTACTTTTTTTTGTAAGCCTACGTCCGAGTAGGCTAAACAAGTGGATTTTTTTTTTCTTTAAAAAGGTGAATTTAATTATTTTTCATATTTTTTTACTCTTTTATCATTTTTCTTGCCTTAAAAAAATCACATTGTACTGATAAGAAAGGAGCTTCTCTGCAGTGAGGAAGTTCACTTTAAAGAATAAAGTATACTATGTTTATGAATAAAAGCTTCATAATTTTAAATTGTAAAAAAATAAATACATGTTCAACAAATTTTAAATAAGTATAATTAATTAATAGTCATCGTTCCACTCTAGATTGCATTTTTCTCACTCAAATCTAAAATTAATATTTTATTTATCTCAGAATTACTTTTAACATTTTTTTCATAATTATTAATATATATAATTATTTTGTGTTTATTTCAATTAATATATTATTTAAGCATACGAAACTGCAAGTGCATATTGTATTTATTTCAAATGATATGTAAAAATATGAAAGAATGAATTTGAGAGAGGGACAATATAAGGTGATAAAAGGAAAAATATTTCATGTAATTTTACACAATTATTTTCATTTATGAAAAATCAATTCTCCATTCTAATAATAATACTAATAATAGAATTATAAATTGTCACATTTAATACTAATAATAGAATTAATTTTTATTTTTTTATTGTTATTATTAAACATAAGAATTGTTTAATAATAATAATAAAATTGATTTATTAATAATTATAATAATAAATATATAAATTTTTATTATTATTATTATATTAATAATTATTTTAATAATAAAAATAAAATTAATTACTATAATAATAATAATCATGTTAACAATTCAAATAAAAATAATTTCTATAATTATAATATTTTAAATAATAATAATTTTTAATAATAAATATATAAAACATTATTATTATGAATTACTAATAGTTATTTTAATAAAATAATAATTAAATTAAAAAATAATTATAATATTTAAATAATGGTAATGATAAAGAATAATTTGATTATTTAATGATTTTTTTATAAAATATTTCATTTTATTATTTATATCAATAAAATCACTTGCAAATATTCATAGTTTTTTTTATTTTTATATCTTTTTTTTATTTGTATATCTTTTTTTACCATCTTTCCCTTAAAAAAATAATTTTTTTTTATTTTTCTCTTTTCCTTCGTATCCATTTTTCACTCCCTCGCTCATCATCTAATTCAAAGAAGGATTTAATATAAAATTGACATAGGGTAAAAATACAATTAAAACTTAAAATATCCAAATCACACAATGATAGTATTTTTGAAGGAACGAAAATGCAGTTTAATTTTTGTAATTTTAAGAATGTGATAAAAAATTAAGTTTAAGAATACAAAAAATATAAATTTAAATCATATATAACATATTAACATTAAAACTCAGTTAGCAATAATGGGCCTGCAAACTAAAAAAAGTAAACCTAAAATATGGGTCCTTCTTTTTTCTTCTTGTTGAGTGAATGTTTGAATATAAGACTGACCTCAAAATCTGCACTTTTTTTTTTTTTTTTTTAAGTTCTGTTTGATGAGATTGAAGTGAAGGCAATTGATCGTATTCAATGTTTCCAGTTCATTGCCTCCATTATTTCCTTTCTCTACCAACTACTCTCGATGTTTCATTTTCCTATAAAAAGGTTTCATTGTTCCTATTCATTTTGAAAAACATATATATCTAAAGTCTCTGCATATTCATTTTTATTATTAAATATTTATTTTATTTTATTTTGCTCATTTATATGTATTATATTGATATAATATATATATAAAAAAACTTTTATAACATATCATTTTATAAAGAAGAGCTAGTCCATGGTCTGAAGTGTATACCTGAATAATGGGTAGGTATTGTGAATGAAAAGAGATAGTTTTTGTTAGTAACAGAGACTGCAATGGTTGTGGCATCTCCAGCACCCATCAATAAAACAAAGGCAATGAGAATCCCAACCATCGACCTGTCCATGGAAAGGTCACAGTTGTCGCAAACTGTGGTGAAAGCGTGCGAGGATTACGGTTTCTTCAAAGTGGTTAACCACAATGTGCCCCATGAAGTTACTGCAAGATTGGAAGAGGAGTGTGCAGAGTTTTTTGCCAAACCCAGTCACCAGAAGCGTCGGGCTGGGCCTGCAAACCCTTTCGGTTATGGCTTCACAAACATTGGGCCCAATGGAGATATGGGTGACCTCGAGTATCTTCTACTTCATGCTGACCCTCTTTCTATCGCACAGAGATCCCCAACCATTGCTCACGATTCCACCAAGTTCAGGTTCGTTGTTCCATTCCTTCCACCTCGTTACCATTCTAAGTTTTTTTTTTTCTTGCATTTTCAGAAAAGGATAAATATATACATTTTATTTATTCGTAATTTAATTCATGCTTAAGTAAAAAAAAGTTAATTAATTTTCTCTTTATAAGATTCTATGAAGAAATTTATATTTTAAAAAGTGTGATTTTGATATTTTCGTTTATTTCCTATATTTTTATGAAACTTCAGATATCCGTGTAATAGAAGAATTTCCTAATTACAGAAAAGGTTAAAGAATAAAGTTATAATTTTTGAAATATAATCTTGATAAAATGGTTAGAGTTTTTTTTTTTTCAGTACTCTTTACATTATTTATATATAATATTGTATTTTTTTATATAATAATTTCCTTTTGTCACGATTTTTAAAAATATTCTAACAATGAAGATTAACGAATCTTGTGTTGTTTTGACATTATAAACATACACGTATTATTGTTTAGTAAGTTAAAATAGTTTATTTTTATTTTATTGTTTTTCAAACGCTGACATTAGATGTCAATGTTTGTAAAATTTTACTCAAATTAATATTTTTAAATTCGAATTTAATACTAAATCGATGAAAACATTAATTTTAGATTTAAAGACTTAAATTTAAAATTTTAATCGCATCCAATCAAGTTTAATAAAATAATATTTTTATAATATAATAAATTTATTAATAATAAAAAATGTTATAAATCATAATAAAAATTATAAATATAAAATTTATTAACAAGTAAAATATTAATATTGATTAAAATAAGAAATGGGTATCTCTACGAGAAAAATAAAAGACTAACTTAAAATTCTCTTTTAATATAATTTAAAATAATTATACTTTTCATCAAGAATGTTTTAATTTTTCATAGGTTGTTGTTGCTGCCAATTAAAAGTTTTTTCTTTTAAGTCAAATATGATTTTAGAGATATAACTATTAAACATAATTATTGAGGAAAAAACCATAAAGAAGTAATTAATTATGAATAAAAAAACATAAAGGAGGAAAGTCAAGGAACAAGTAATTTGTTTCTTAATTTTGCGACTATCTTCTGTTGGCATATATTTGATGCCTTTCAATTTAACATCGAATGCGTAATTAATTGCAATATATTACTCTTTTTTAAATGGAAATTTTTAAATACTATATATATACATTAGATTCATATTTTTATAAACCAGATATCTTTTTAATGATTTTTTAAATTCCATTAAATTAATTATTAAAATATGATTTATATATATATATATATATATGTAACGCTGAGTTGACATTCTTTAGCTGACTGTAATAATATATAGTTTAAAAGATACAAAGCAGCACATGCCCCGCCAACTAATACAGAACAAATTGAAATATTAAGTAATAAAAAAATTTACATTTTATATATATATATATATATATATATATATAGTCTAACATGTTACAAAGCTAACTGGCATTAGAGAAAAATAAAATTGAAATAATTTTGATTTGATGGGGCTTACTTCGATAGTGAGGCTGGGCCCAATGGGCCATGACACAGAAGAAAGTAGATTGTACAATAAACCATACCATATGTTATGTTAGACACCTTCACAGTTCATGAACCTTGGTTAGCAAGGACAACAAATTCAAATTATTTGTGATAGAATAACTTGCATTGGTTTCGCATTGTACAATGCGATCGCGACCATATCGTCCTTTTGTTTCCCCAAAACAGAAAATCTTAGATCACTAACAAGTTAGTAAATGACAAAACCCAAACAATATCAAAACATCTTTTTCCTAGTAGTATTTGATAAGCTAAACCATGTTACTCTTTGTTTTTGGAAGTGTCGTCGTGAATGATTTTGTGGAAGTAGTAAAAGAAGTAACGTGCGAGATTCTAGATTTGGTGGTTGAGGGGTTGGGGGTCTCAGACAAGTTTGCTCTGAGCAGTCTCATCAGAGATGTTCACAGTGATTCTGTTCTGAGGATCAATCACTACCCTCCATTGAAGGTGAAGTCGAAGGGTAACAAGAATAGCATTGGTTTTGGGGCGCATTCTGACCCTCAGATCTTGACCATCATGCGCTCCAACGACGTGGGTGGCCTTCAAATTTACACCCGTGAGGGATTCTGGATTCCTGTCCCACCTGACCCCACTCAATTCTTTGTCATGGTTGGCGATGTCTTACAGGTTGGTCTCTTAACCTAGTAAATGTCTCATAACCACGTTCAAGGTTTTCCAAAATGCAATTTTTCATGTCTTCCATGATTATGCAGTGGTTTGCATAGAATACACACTGATAATTTTTTATTTTGAGTTGAATGAAGGTTATGACAAATGGAAAGTTCATGAGCGTGAGGCACAGGGCATTAACCAACACATTGGAGGCAAGGATGTCAATGATGTACTTTGCAGCACCACCACTTGATTGGTGGATCACTCCTCTACCCAAGACACTGTCACCACCACAAAATCAAAGTCTATACAAACCCTTCACATGGGGCCAGTACAAGGAAGCAACATATACTTTACGCCTTGGAGATTCTCGACTTGATCTCTTCAAGGCCCAGCTAGATACCCATCTTCTATCTTCCTCTCCATCACAATTTCAATGATGATATATTTTTTTTCTTGCCCTACATAATTAGTCATGACTTGGGAGGAGGAGCAAGGAATGGGTAGTGTTTCTTTTTCCTTTCTTACGTATTTTCTTCTGGCTTTGAGCGTTTTGATATTCGTTAAAAAGCTTGAGTTAGGGATTTGTTTATTTACAATTTAACCATGTCTATGGAATGACACTGTTGTGAAAAATGACACCACTGAAGTCCAATTTTAATTCTCTGATATGATGGTAATCATCACACTATTTGAATTTTCAATGTAAAACATTATATTATCATTACAAAGAAGGACTTTCTTAGTGATTAAAAACTCTCTAAATTAAAAAGATAAGAAATCGATGTAACATGACATAAAAGTTTAGCCGTTCCTTAAGAAACTGTTAATGTATGTGGAGAATGAAGATAAATCTGTGCCTAATTGTAAGGTCTGCAAAAATGAACAATAAGTAAAAGACGCTAAAGGAGTACAAGTTCGCAATGGGGATTTTGGCTCAGCTGTGCTGCGACCATGCATGGGACAGAAAAATACAATAAGAAAAGCAAAGAAAGTTGACTGTCCAGTTAAGTGTGAACAACTCAAAAAAGGAAGAGTTGACAAGTGTTGGTTTCAAAGGTTGCGGCCGTTAGTGCCTCAGCTCCAACGACCAAGTCATACAATTTAAATCATATTATAATGAATCTATTAGCCTTAATTCATTTAATGTCAAACCCATGTCACGTTTTCGTTCATTTCTTCTAGATAACTCTAGTGTAGAAGACCGTAACTTGCAAGTTACTCCTATTTTCCAGATTAATTTTCCATTCGTTTCCGTAATAATCAAAACCAACTTTTTAATCTGACCCAAATTTTAATCTCAAACTTCTAATCTGATCCAACTTTCAATCTCAAATTTTTAATCTGACCCAACTTTTAATCTCAAAATGCTAGACTTCACCAACATGAACTGCTCGAACAGAGATACATTCATTTTGATCGATCAATTATATATATATATATATATATATATATATATATATATATATATATATATATATATATATATATATATATATAATCTCTTTTCTCTCATTTGACCACTCGTCACTTTTATGTCAGTTAAAAATTTTACATTTTTATTTGTCAGTCATAGGATATTCTCTTCTCATTCGGATAATTATGATTGAGGAATGAAAGAGTAATTCCTTGAAAATAAGAACAAAATTACCTAAATAGAGTATATTTTTTGGGGACAGAAAAATTAAATAGATAATCTAAAACATATCAAATATAAAGAGACAAAAGAATATATACTGAATATTTTAGCTGAAGTATCTGAGACTTATCACCAGAACAACATTCATCTTCATGCCAAAGAATACAGGTGATAGAGCATTCGAAGGTTTCCCAAAACTCAAATGTTTTGTGCACTTTATTCCAAAAACACGTAACCATGAACATGAAAAGAAAGAGACAAACGTGCTCTCCAACGACTTCTGTCGGATGTCTCTTTGATATTTCTCTTCTTGTCATGCGTTCAAATGTAGTACTTTTGTCGACCTGATCATGTTTGAGTATAGCTAGGAGTGTAGGATAACATTGTTTTACTCTTCTAACATGTCAAGTAACTGGACACGTGCACGTCTCTTAATACGTTATCACATCTTCATAATTTTCATAATTTGATGTTTCTTTTGTCTTATTGATTATGAGAAGATGTCATAAGACCTTGTGCAAATGACGCTTAATATATAACAAATGCCAGTCACATTACAATTACGTTGATAGATTAAAATTAAATTTCAATAAAATTAATGGAACCTACAAACTTTAAAACAAAACATATTTCACGCTTGTTACAGTTGATGAATTATGAGGAGCTTTGCAATGTCATCTTAGCAACAACATGACGTGAGTTATGGAATAACATGTTAAACTGTATACTGTTAATGCGTCACAAGTCATCAGCGAGCTGCTGTTGCAAGAAGCAAATATTCTCGTCTGTCCACAAGTCAACGCCACCAAAACCACTTCCTGCTATGTCCGAGTACCCATACTTTCTCTCCTCCCAGAGGCTGCTACAACCTTCTTCTGCACCATATGATGACAAATTTCCACCACCCATTAAATTGTAAGACGCGGCAGAGTCAGAGAGAGAGGGCGCGTGGACATCAACTGCCCATGAAGCCTCTGACAGCAAACGCGGGTTGTTGGCGGTGGCGGTGGTGGTGGTGACTCCACAAGGGTCGCTCTGGGCTTGAGCGTTGGAGATTAAGGAGGTTTGGGCTTGGCTTGATGATGAGGGTTGAGCCTGAATCCGCTCCAGCATACGTGGCATCCATACAAAACGCAACGTGTCTCTGAATTGTTTACTGTTCACATCACAATTCAGTTGCTTAGCCTGCTTCACTACTCGCGTTCTCCAATAGTTCTTAATCTCGTTGTCTGTTCTCCCCGGTAACTGTTCAGCTATTTTCGACCACCTTAACAAAAATAACACAACATCTCTTCAGTAAACGTGTTCTATCTATCTATCACAAACACATGTTCAAGAATAAACACAGATGATGGTGATGATAATATATAATACCTGTTGCCCCAACGGGAATGGAGGTCAAGAATCATTAGCTGTTCTTGGAGGGTTATGTTCCCACGTCGAACGTTAGGACGCAAGTAGTTCAACCATCTTAACCTGCAGCTTTTGCCCGTTCGTTTTAGACCTGAAGTTGAAAACATGGGCGAGAGTGACTAGCATTAGGATATCTAATCAAGACTTTGATTTGATCAATGAATGAGTGGTTATATAAAGACATGAATGTTTGCATGCCTGTGTAGCGAGCGACAGAGTTCCAGTGGCCTTCCCCGTGGACTGTAATGTAATTGAAGAGAACTGAATCTTCACCCTCTGTCCATGGACCTTTCGTTATTGACATCTCCTCTTCACTGCTTCCATATGTTCCTGACGACCCATTTTCTGATAAACTCCTCTCCATCTCACAAATTAGCAACTTAATTGTCGTGTGATCTTTCTTTTCTGTCTAGCGTTTGTGATATATGTGTGTGAGAGAAAGAGAGAGAGAGTAGTTTTGCTTTGAAATATATATGGTTTGGCTAATTTTGTTAAGTAGGAATAGCAACAACGTGATTTATACGAAGAGATTTGAGACCAAACTTATGTGTAGTTGAATTTAGGAGGATCTGCACTTTTGGGTTGAAGTAATTAACTATTCCAAAACCGTTTCAGTGGGCTGCTAAATAGTACTGCAACTATGAATTATTAATTGATTATTAGATATGAAAGTAGTTTTTATTCCTTAGCTTTTTCTGTTTTATAAAGTTTGACCTGGGATTTAGCATTGACTCTTTGACTTCTCCACACGTTTATAGGAGATGTGGACCTTAAAATATACTCTATTGAACATAAAGAGTCAAAGACAGAGTGGGTTTTGGTCAGCATTCTGATTCCGAAATGGAGAAAAATGGAGGGGTCTTGTATCTGGCCAACTTTCTAGCGTCAAGAAATTCTATACATTTGTTTCAGTAAAATTTAGTTGACAAGTTCTACGCGATTTTTCAAAAGTTTCTTCTATCAAAATTTCATTTTTTGTACGCAAATAGTCGATTTTATTAACGTAGGATTATATTAATTAAGAATGGAAATATTTTATTAGAGAATAAATGAATAATTTTTATACAATGCTTTCCTTTTTCATTATCAGTAATCCTAATCGGTGCCAATAATATATTTTTAAATGGTAGGTTTAAAAGGTTGAACCCATCCTAAATAAGTCAATCTGGCCTTAAACCATGATTTGTTAGGTTAACTCACAAGTTTGGATCCGCTTTGATAAACAAAGGATTACAATTAGTCAAAAAATATTGTTAAAAGATTAAAACAGTTAACAAAACATCTAGGCACCAAAAATTAATTTTGTAAAAAAGATGAGCAATTTTTTTTCTTTTTCCAAAAATTACATATGTATTCATGTCTGGGAAACTACGTGATAACGAAAACAAATTTATTTTTTATTTACACCGATTAATGTATAAATATATTATAATTTGATTGTTGAATGATGAAATAAGTATAAATATATTCTAATATTGAAGTTAGCAATTAGAAATAACAAGTGGATATATTAAATGTTTATTAATGAATCAAATATACTAAACGGATATATAAAACATAGTTTTGATTATTATTAAGGAAAATTTCACAAGATTTATATATGTTAACTATATGAGTTTAAGTTTCATAAACTAAGTATAAACAACTTTTTATATTATTAATAAAAAAATATTTTTAGTCTCTCAAATTTTATTTTTCATTTATAGTCTCGAAATAAATGTTAATATATTTTCTTAATTGATTTTAATCCACTAATTTTTATTTTTTTAATGTTTTTAATTTATGTATTAAAGATGATCTTTAAGTGATGACGTGATATATGAGTGAGAATTGAGGCAGTCAACCTAAAATTCTTCTTAACATGAATAATAACTCTTTAAGATTCAATCTCTCTCTCTCTCTCTTATATATATATATATATATATATATATATATATATATATATATATATATATATATATATATATATATATATATATATATATATATATATATATATATATTCTTGTTAAGTGCAAGACAAACACGTCTATTAAGGTTTATACCAGGATCATACGAAAGTTATTAAGTAATCTAACAACATTGATTGCAACTAATTTTTAAATAACATGTATTCATCTTTTTAATTTACGAAAACAAATTATTAATTCTTAATATATGTATTGATTCATTCAAATCATATAAGAATAGTTTCATATGCAAACACCTATCGGTTTGGATCGAAATTGATAAATTTTTATTCGTTCAATTTGTTTTCTTTATCTATTTAATTTAAGTTAAATTAACTCTATTTTAATTGTATTGGTTCCAATTGACTCGTCAGATTTATTATTAAAAATATGTCTATAAAGTGTGAATCGAGTGTAACAGTAAAATAAATAAAAAAGTATTTGGCTTAAAGTTCTATTATCTAATGGCTAGTTTAAATATGAAAAAAAGAATTATGAAAAAGAAAACCTGTTGTTGATGTCTAAGTTTGCCACAGAATAAGATGAAAGGGGACAAATGAACTCGTGAAGTTTGTGAATATCCCATTAGTCATCACTCAGACTAGGTCAGGTCAGGTCGCTAAAGGATGGCGATCCAAAGGTGACACCAACATTCACTTCTACTCCTGATTGCTTATTGTACCCGTGTTTGTATTGTGTGAAGTCATCAAACTAAAAAAATTACAATCTAAAGGAGCAAATTTGTACAAAAATTACTAGTGGATAAAATATTCTAAAATCTTAAGTATTGATTTCAGTGAAATATTATGTATTGATCTCAGTTTAGTTATAAGAAAGGTGCGATACAAAATAATTTATTTTAGATTTTGCTTCTTATAATTTAAGTTGACTTTGAGTTTTTCAATATTGTTGTGGGTGCAGCAAAATTATGTAGGTGGAGTACATATTGACAATCAACATCAGGATTTGTTGGAAGAAGGGTATGAACACCACTTTTCCAGAGAACAAATTTGCAATTCCTGAATATGTTTCCAATATGACGATAAACAACATTGTGTCTTTACCGGCAAGGGAAACATCATTATCATCCCATTTCATCCAAAAGGTTTCCATTCAAAAGTCTCGAAGCATGATTGATAGGAATAACTCATTTCCTTCTTACCTTATATCACTGTTGATTAAGGTCATTAAAAAAAATTAAGCGAAAAAACTTAAATAATTTTCTGTCGTTGGTACATTTTATTTTATTGATAACAAGATCATATTTATCACCTCAAACTAAATAAAAGAAAAATCATAATTTCTAGAAACACTATATATAAAATCAAAAATTTATTGAACTGTTAAAATGATTACAAAGTGCCTTTCTTCGTCCCAAGTAGGCATCAATCACCATAATAAGATTGATATGTGAATTATTTTATAGACAATTTTAAAAAATAGCTTTATGTTTTTTTTTAAATTAGTTACTGATAGTCTTAGTCTTAGTCTAGTTATTTTAAAAATAGCTTTATGGACAGAAACTTTGAGGGCGAGCCGACTCACTGTCCCAACCCGTTTTGCCATTACAAAATGGTGGATACAAAATCAACACTTTACAACATAAAACAAACCTTTGAGAGGTCTCAGATCGTTGAAAAACATCACAATCAAATAATAAACCAGATAATCAGCCAATGTAGGCAAATTAAATTCATCATTGACCTCAACCGTATTAAATTATGATGCGTTTCAAAATTTAATTATAGACAAATAAACTAAACCAATAAATAATGAAATTTAGGCTGGATAAAAAGTAAGTATAAAATAATTACAGGGGAAAGACACCACTCAGTGATGGCTAAGATTTTATGGTTCGATTCTGCCAGCAAATTTCCTCACAAATCTCAGAAGAGGGAGCTTTTGCATCCTCATTGTGATGACACTTTCCCCAAACAAGTAAAGATAGTTCACAATAATTATCATATTGAACGAAAACAGATAAATATAAACTTCAACGAAGCCAGAAAATATCAATTACTGAGATAATAAATCGAAGAAAAATGAAGGAAAAAAAAAAAAGAGATCACTCAGTTCAGCGGGGTAGTCGACACGCAACGCAACCTCTCGAAAGAGAGAAAGCTCTGCATTCCGGTCTGTTGAGCTTGAATTTTATGGAGTCATCACCGTAATCTCATACGATGCTTATCGAGATTTATCGCAAAAACAAATGAAATTCAATAAATAAACGAAAGCAAAAAGATACAAATTAAAACTAGGTTCAAATGAATACAAAATATACACCGATTAGATGTCGTCGATTGCAGAGATGCAGAAGAGTGTAGCTTTGTGAGATAGCTCGCACGTTCTGATTTTATAGGGAGCATATTAGGGTTTCTGAAAAAACGGGAACAACATATCATACGCCGTCGTTTTAAAACAATAATATCTCTCTCACATATGAGTGGGCCGGGCTCGATATATCCGCTTTTTAGTGAAAAAAAAAACCCAATATCCTGACTATATATATTTTTTACACCTTCCATTGATTCCATTGATTTTTGAAAATATAAAAAAAAAGATATATTCTAAAATAAATGCGAAATGTGAATAAAAAAAAAAAAAATCCTAAAAATAGACGTTATTTGTTAGTTTTTTTTTCTTCAGCTTAACTTAAATATGCTCAATAGACTAGATACGAATATTTATGCAAAATTATTTCAAAAACATGACAGAAATAAATAAAATAAATAGATCACATATTAAAAATTTATAACTTTAAAAAAATAAACAAATGTTTTTGTTAGTTATGATTTACAAATAATAACTTATTTAACTTGTTCTATATTTAATAGTGTTTTTAAATAAAGAACAAATATTTTACAATCTAACATTAACACACACAAAAATCAAAATAATAGAGATAGTAAAATTGGAAATTTTGTTAGAGAAGGTATAGGAGACACTTAATAAAATAAAATTCTCATAAAAAATAATAAAAGCATCGGTATTTATAAAAAATATAAGTATGACACAAAATGACATGAACTTAACCTTCAATATACGTAAACATACAACATTCAAAGTTAGATCCATCACGGAAAAAAAAAAAACACTATACATGATCTCACTACAAAATCCTCCAATTAAATTGTCCAATTTTATTGATTTCTTATAAGAAAAACAAACTATTTATTTTTAAAAAAAAATGCTTTTGTGTAAACATTATTTGCTTTAGCTTCTCCATTTTAGAAGAAGAAAACAAATCAAATTTATTTGTTCATTAAGCCTATGTTATGTTACCTAAAGGAAGAAATGAGACGATAGATTTATAGAAAAATGTGTAATTTGGATTTGATGTTTTCCATGAAAAGTTTGGTGGATCTTTGAATTTGAAGATAAAAATTTATGAATGTCTTTATTATCCTTTAATTGT